AAAAGGCATGTATGCCTCTTCTCCAGGCCTAGGTCACTCACAGTTGGCTTGGAAATAAACTGCATTAATTATTAATTATTAATTTTACAGTTGGTTATATTTTTTCTGTCGACAATCTCTGAATCGATCATACTTTTTCCCTCCATTTATTTTAGTTTTTTTTGTTTTTGTTTTTGTTTTTTTTTTGCCTTAAGGCACTTGTGCTAGCTGGAGAGAGGGAGATAGGCAGACACAGTGAGAGGTGAAAATGAGAAATCACCTTGCAGGGGGGATGGCTGTGCTGTAGTCCCTTCTCCTCCATTATTCTCTTGGGATCTTGGACGTGTACACGCACCCGGTGTGAGTTTTAAGTCACTGGGTCAGGGACTCAAACCACGGTCGACTGTGTGGGAGCTAAGCGACATAATACGCATTTACTGGTTTCCGTTAATATATTATTATAGTTTTAATTTTTGTATTAAAATGTGCACTTTTACTTAGAAAGATTAGTTTTCATTTATCTAGATAGAGATGGTATTACGTGCAGAAATTATATTCCTTGGTACTATATTTAAAGAACCAAAACTTTAAATGGTAATCCTATAGATAAAGGCCTTATATAACACAGAATAAGTTTTTAATAGATTCTAGGAGTTCCCATAGGTTTGCATTCAAAAGGTATGCATTTTCCTCTTGAAGTGTTGCTTTATCATTCCAGTAGAGAAAATCCAGTAATTAAGGCCACTTAGAAACTTAATGTGCCTTATTTTTAATACTAATTTGAAAAGTGTTTAGCAGGCAATTTCATAAAAAATTTTACTAGTTTTTATACCTTTTAATTTTTTTCTTTGCCTAGCTGAAAGAAGTTTTAAATCTGTGATTCATGAATTTTTCTAACTGAAAGTTAAAAGAGGCTAATTGATATGAAGTAGGTAAAATATAGAAGTTTTTCCTGTGAATTTCTTCATTACATTTTTGAAATGGAAAACTGAGTTTGTAGTAACACATTTTACAATTAAAAGAAAAAGTCAGTTTACTTGAGTTTCTTGTTTTACAGTTGAAAATTGAGAAAATCATGAAAGAAAAAGAAGAACTGTTAAAATTAATTGCTGTTCTGGAAAAAGAAGCAGCACAACTTCGAGAACAAGTTGGAAGAATGGAAAAAGAGCTTAACCATGAGAAAGAAAGATGTGACAAATTGCAAGCAGAACAGAAGGTTAGTTGTGTCTTTTGTAACTAATTAGGAGTGATAGTATGTTGCCTGAAGCCCACCTTTTTCAGAAAGTAAACCAGTGAAAGTAAGTGAAAGGTAGTTATTGAAAAAGTAGCATTTAACCTGATATGTAAATAACAAGTTCTTGTTAACTTTTAGTCACAACTTTTTTTATGTTGTAAGATGATTAAAATAACTTTTTAAAAGAATTATTTAATTTTAATTTATTCATTTATTTTAATTAGAGAGAGAGAGCATGCAAGAGTGAGAAAGCGAGAAAGCAAGCCACCAGGTCTGTGGCCGGTCATGTGGGAGTGTCCAGCACCTTAACCACCACACTACCTGCTCATCCCAATTAAAATAACTTCTTCTAGAATTTTGGTACTAGGCTTGAGATAGTCCCAACAACTGTTTTTTATTTGTTTTGCTATATGGTGCATACATTCACTGGAGACAGAGAGGGAAAGTGAGAAATCACCCCCTTGGGGATGGCTGTGCAAAATCAATTCCTTCTCCATTCTCCTTTTTGAGATTATGCTGCTTGTTTTTTTTTTTTTTTTTTTTTTTTGGCTAGTTTTTGACAGCGCTCGCCAGACAGACAGAGAGAGACATAGAGACAGAAAGCGAGAAATCACCCCCCAGGGGGGGATGGTCACGCCACAATCCCTTCTCCTCCATTCTCCTCTCAGGATCTTGGGCACGCACGCACACACGCCCGGCGTGAGTTTTAAGCCACCGGGTCCGGGACACGAACCGCGGTCGACTATGTGGGAGTCCAGCGACACAGCCATTACGCTAACTGCTGGTTCCCTATGCTGTTTGTTTTTTAAGCCCCTAGGTCTGGGAGTCTGTAATGTGCAAGTCGAGTAGTGCCTTAACCATCACACCATGTACTGGCACTCATTTTTAATACAAATTTAAGTGGTTTTTTTTTTTTTCCTCTTTGTTTATATAAGGCTGATTAATAAAAATAATTCACATAACACTAAAATCTGCATGATCTGTGTGTATTACATATATTAACTCAATCTGAAGAAGTTGGTACTGTTATATACATTTTACAGAGGTAGCACAGGGAGGCTAAGGCTACGTAACCTGCCCATTATTGAAGTAAGTGATACAGACTGGCAGTTTGGCTTCTGGCAGTGGTCTTAGCTACCACTGAGGGCAGAAGTTGTGTGCTGATCTTTTCTTTCTTAAAAATAGCTTTATTATGTTAACTGTAATCTAATTTTAGAGTATATTTATCTATCGTAGAAGAAAGCGTGTACTTATTTGTAGTCGCTCTGTATTTACCTCTTATTCTTTGCCCCATGTATCATTCTGTCTCTGGATTTGCCTATTTTGGACATTTCATATAAATGATGTCATAGAATATGTGGCTTTTTTCATAGACTTCTTCCACTTAACATAATGTTTTCAAGTCATCCATATTGTAATATATATCTGTAATTATTTTATTGCTAGATAATATTCCTTTGTATTGATGAGTCTTTCTTTAACTGCATCTTTACATTTTTTTTTTTTTGAATCATTTTTTGAATTTTATTAAAGCATGACATTAAAATGAATATTGCATTTGATTAAACCAATGACTGAACATGGGTGAATAAAAGCCTCATCTTACATATTTTCTTTTTTTTGCCTATAATATGTTCTTATCTTTTATTATGCTCAGTGTTTTCATTTTTTAAATTTATATCTTTTCTCTCCCATTCCATCTTGTTAGTAAAAAGAGTATCCAAAATATGACTCATTTCTTCAAGTCAATGAAATGGATATTTAATATACTAAAACTAAGCAAAATAACTTTAACAATCTATTTAATTTAGATTTTCATTATGCCACTGCAGTGTTTATAAAATTGAAAGTATTCTGGGGTCCAAGGAGGAGGAACGGTGGGGATGCGTGGAGATTTGGAAGGGTCGGGCCTGCAGCCTCAGTTCGCCTGGTGCCCAGAACTTGGCATCTTTACATTTCTTGAAGACTTCTGTAAAAATAAACAGTTTGCATGTATATTCATTGTGTTACTCTTTATATTTTATACAGCTAGATACATATTTGAGAATTGATTTTTGAATCTTGCTTGTTTTTTTAGATTTTTGCCCTGGGGGGGGGTGTGTGCATTCACCAGAGAATCAGAGACAGAAAGAGAGGGAAAGTGAGAAATCATTCTCAGGGGTGATGGCCACACTGCGATCCCTTCCTGATCCCCTTGGGATCTTGAGCATGCATGCACAAGTGCCTGGCATGAGTTTCAAGCCAGTGGATCTGGGACTCAAACTGTGATTAGCCATGTGGAAATCCAGTACTTTAACCAGCATGCCACCTGTTGGCTTTGTAATAAATATATTTTTTAAAAAAGAAATCTGTAAAATGGAGATAATATGGTCTTTTCTGCCTCATTTATAAAATTGTAAGACTTAAATGCAACTATATGGAGGCATTTTACTGTGGAAAACTATACATTGAAAAAATTTATAAATGAAGACAATTATTTTTATTAAATAATTTAAGAGTTTCTCCCCCAAACAGTAATACTCACCAGCTCAACAAAAATTTTGAAGATTACCATTCTATCAATTTAGAAGTTTGTATGTATATATGTGTGTGCATATATATGTGTTTTTTTTTTTAATTTTAATTTTTTTTTACCATGAGAGAGGGACAGAGACAGGCACACCCAACAGATTCTTCATGCTACAGTCTAAACCCTTCACCCCTGTCTCAGCCGACTTGGTGATGGCAAGTATGTCCCTCCTTTTGGTGTATACAGGGAGATATAGTATGCAAATGTAGGGTCTTCCCAGATCGCTTCAGAATCATATAGTGTTGCATTATTGTGACACCACCACAGCTGGCTTCCAATTTTACAGATTTTACAACAGCTTTACGAGCTTCACTAAGTTTTCACAAGTGAGTTCTCTTGAGTTACTTCTCATGATTAATGTGATAAAATACTTTTAATCTTTTACATTGCCCCCCCTTTTTTTTTTTTAATTTGCTAGAAGGTGCATGTACTTGCTGGAGAGAGACAGAGTTGGGAAAGTGAGTGAGCCGTACCCATGGAGAATGGTCATGATGCATTCCCTTACTTTCCCTCCTTTCACGATTTTGTACACACATGCACATACATGTGCCTGGTACGTTTTCAAGCCACTGGATTTGAGACTTGAACTGTGCAGTCGGCCATGTGGGATCCAGCTACCTTAACCACGATGCCATAGGCTGACCCTAAATTACTTGTTTAAAGTAGAATATTCTAGGACCAGCAGGTGGTTTATGTTACTGGACTCCCATGTAGCTGACTGCTATTCGAGTCCTGGACCTGGTGGCCTGAAAAACATGCCAGGCACATGTGCATGTGTGCCCAAGATCCCTGGAGGAAAATGGAGAAGGGATTGCGGTATGGCCATCCCACAGGGGTGGGGAGGTTGATTTCTCACTTTCCCTGTTACTTGTCTGTTTCTCTCTCTTTCTGGTGAGTGCATGCACCCTAGGCAAAAACCTCTTAAAAAACAACAGCAGCAACAACAAAACAAAACAGAAAAACTACATAATTTTTAGAAAGCATATTTTATTTTTTTGGAGAGGCTTTTGCTATAGGGCTTGTGTGCTCTCCAGAAAGACAGAGAGACAGAAAGCGAGAAATCACTCCCCAGGGGGCATGGCCATGCCGCAATCCCTTCTTCATTCTCCTCTCGGGTTCTTGGGCATGCACACACATGTGCCTGGCGTGAGTTTAAGCCTCCAGGTCCAGGACTCGAACCTTGGTCGACTATATGGGAGTCCAGTGACATAGCCATTACGCCAACTGCTGGTCCCTAAAAAGAGTATTCTAAGTAGAAATACATTTAATTTTTTGCATTCTGTTATATTTGTTTCAGTAGCTTTGGATATTTGTGTAGGGACTCTGAGGCACACTGACATTAGGAACATCACTCTAAGCATTAATTGTCGTGCTTTGATGAGACACTGTTCTATGCTAGAAGAAGCAGATACTAACTTGATAGTATCATATGAGGCCCGATTTATCACTGGGATATTACTGAAAAAGTGAGATGTGAAAAACAAAAGTGACTAATTAAAAAAAATTATTTTTCATTTTTGCCTGCCCTCTGGTGGAGAAGTTAGTGAAATCAGCAAACAGGGTTTATGAAAAGTATGGGTGTAGAGGAATATACAGATGTATATGTGAGATTGTGTATAATTGACATATGGCAATTTAAATAAAATTTCAGGTTTGGTTGAGAATCTCTTTGTAAATTTTGGAGGGGAAAATGTGCAATTATAAATTTAAAAATACATAGGTTTCTTAAAGATATGTAAATTTAGGCCAGCAGGTGACACGGATGTTAAGGTGGCTGAATCCCACCTGGCCTACTGTGCGGTTCAAGTCCCAGACCCAGAGGCTTGAAAATCACACTGGACTGTGTGCCTAAAATCCCAAGAGAAGAATAGGGATGGGATTGGGATGTGTCCATCCCCACTGGAGGCTGAAGTTTTACTTTCCTACTTTCTCTAGTGAGCGCATACTCCCAATAGCAAAAACTTAAAAAGAAATAATATGTAAACTTGCCTTACTGATGATGATTTTATGTTTCTCAAAATATCTTCTTGTTTTTAAGGATCTAACTGAAGTCTCACAAAGTTTAAAAATGGAAAATGAGGAGTTTAAAAAGAGATACAGTGATGCTACATCCAAAGCTCTGCAGCTTGAGGAAGATATTGTGTCAGTGACACATAAAGCAATTGAAAAAGAAACAGAATTAGACAGGTATTACTGAGGCTTTTTAAAAGCATTTTTTTGTGTTTAACAAAGGTTTTGTTGGTATTAACATTATTTTAACTTAGTTTAAAGGACAAACTCAGGAAGGCACAACATGAAAGAGAGCAACTTGAATGTCAGTTGAAGACAGAAAAAGATGAGAAGGAACTTTATAAGGTAATTTATCCTTTGCATTTCTGTTAGTTTTTCTATTGCTTTATAGCACATTACTCCTAGACTTAGAGGTGGTGGGTCAGAGAGTGGGTGTGACTTAGCTGAGTAACTCTGTTCTTTGGTCTTTTATGCAGTTGCAGTCAGGAGTCTAGCAAGGGCTGCAGTTCACTCCCATGGCTTTAGACAGGAAGCCTTTCAGTGCCTCTGTGTGCCCCCTCCATAAGCTGTTGAATGTCCTTAACAATATAACAGCCAACTTCTTCTAGAGTAAATGATCCAAGAGTCAAGGTGGGAGTCACAATTGCAGTATGTCTTGCCCTAAAAGTTAGTTTTCAGGAAATTAATTTGGTGGTATTTTAGATACTTAGCAAGTTCTGTGTAATGTCAGTTAGGTTTGATGGCAACAGAATACTTTTTTAAAATCACAATTTACAGAACCAAGTAAGGGAATCCTCTTAAATAAATAAATACCTTAGGGAGACCATTAATTTGTTTCAATGATGATCATGTTTTAAGAATTTGACTTTTGGAATAATCTTCAGAAACTCATTTTGTTCAAATACCCCACTGCTAACAAATCTTGATGTTTTGAAGTTTCTCTTTCTATTTAAAGCAATCCTGAAATTTAGGTTGGTTAGCTCAATCGTCAGCATTGTGAGTGAACATTGAAACTTACTTTCTTAAGTGACTCGAAGGCATTTCCAAAGGTGCTTTCCATTAGCCGATGATTATGAAAATTAGGTATTATTTTAAAAGTGAATGTATAAAATAAAATTTAAAAAATATTTGAAAAAAAAAAAAAGGTGATGCTTCAGGGACCAGTAGGTGCGTGGTAGTTAAGGCTCTCTCCCTCCTCTCTCTGGTAAGCACACGTGCCCTATTGCAAATTTACATATATACATATGTACATACTGGCAGGTAGTGTGGTGGTTAAGGTGCTGAACTCCCACATGGCTGACTGAAGTTTGAGTCACAGACTTGGTGGCTTATTTTCTCATTTTCCTACTCTCTCCATCTCTCTCTGGTCAGAATTTAAAAATAATGATAATAAATAAAATTTAAAAAATTCTTTTTTAACTTTACTTTTTATTTTATTTCATTTATTATCATTATTATTATTTTGTTTCTAATTTGACCAGAGAGAGAGAGAGAGGGAGAGTGAGAAAGCAAGCCACCAGGGCTGGGACTCGAACCATGGTTAGCCATATGGGAGTCCAACACCTCTAATCACCATGTCACCTATTTGTCCCCAAATTAAATGATACTTAAAAAGATAGGTCACTTCAAAAATGTTTCCTACTGATACCCTCAAAGAATCAGGAGTCATAATCTACCCTTGTGAACAGGAGTTAGTCCTTCCTTATATCATACATAAAGAGTAAAGTGCCAGAAATATGTTAATTCATTTCTCTGCAGTCCTTTTTTTTTTTTTTTTAAATGAGAGAGACCAAGTGAGTGTGTATACATGTGTATGCATGCAAGAGGGAGAGATGGAAACTTAATATTTTACCATGTTGTGATCCTTCATGGCTCCTTGTGGAGCCTTCCCATCAGGTAGGAATACAGGTGTGTATTGCTGTGCCTCGTCTCTCTTTTAGTTTGTAATCAAAGCCAGATACTATTAATAGTGGACATTGGTTGTCTGTACTCTTTATAACTGTAGTTAAGGAATTTAATTGGTATACATATTTTGAATCATTCAGTAGCCACAGTTCATGAGGAAATGAATATGTTTGGGTAATTAGTTAACCTATATAATTTTAGGCAAACTGGAAGTAGGGGATAGTACCTTTTCCAAGCAAAAAGTTAAAATTGCTTGAGATATTTTTGAATGTATCCCTTCTAGTTTTCCTGAATCTGGTCATGACTTTATATCTGAATATGGCTATAACATAATCTGGTTCCCTAGAAGAACAACCAAACTTACTTGCATTTTTTTAAAAAAAGAGAGCCTAAAGTCATTAAAGGAAAGACTTTAGAGATCAGGTAATGTAGTTCCACTTTAGAGTTAATCTCATTGGAAAATAAAAAGCTTAGGAAAGCCTTGCTCTGTTTTTAAATGATTTAGCTAGTCATTTAACAGAACTTGGGTCTTTTGACTCGTGATCCAATACATCTTTCCATCCTTTGATTATCTTTGGGATAGAAATAAATAATGGTATTTTAAACTTTGTCTTATTTAGGTTAAAAAGTTAGAATATTGACATTTGCGAACACTGTTACCAGGTACATTTGAAGAATACAGAAATAGAAAATACTAAGCTTGTGTCAGAGGTCCAGACTTTAAAGAATTTAGATGGTAACAAAGAAAGCATGATTACTCATTTCAAAGAAGAGATTGGCAGACTACAGTTCTGTTTGGCTGAAAAAGAAAATATGCAAAGGGCTTTTCTGCTTACAACCTCAAGTAAAGTAAGTACTTTTGGAATACATATTTGAAGATTGTAAAGCATCTCTGTTAAGTGTTTACAATATGACTTTTTAAAAAAAATTATTTAATTTTATTTGTTGTTGTTGTCGAATTTGCTAGAGGGCACGTGTGCTCACCAGAGAGGAGGAGAGAGAGAGAGAGAGAGAGAGAGAGAGAGAGAGAGAGAAAAGAAAGCCACCAGGTCTGGGATTCAGACTGCAGTCCACCATGTGAGAGTTCAGCGCCCCAACCATCACACCACCTGCTTCTCCTTCACTGTTCGTTTTTAACTCACCCTGTCTCTTTCATTTGAAAAAGTTTAAAAGTTTAAAGGAAAAGCTAGAGGAACAGAACAATGAATCCCTATTACTGTAAAATATGTTGCCATCCTTTGTTTTATTTCCCCCATTTATATGCCTTTTTTTTTCTCCCTTTATGCTATTTGGAAGTCAGATATAGGCATAATAATAATAACAACAACAACAACAACAACCCCAAACACATTTTTTTAGGTTGGTTTACTCCTTGAGAGAGAGAGAGGGTGAAAGGATAAAGAGACAGAGATAGGTATTCCAGTAAGGCCCTCATACTGCAGCCCAGCTTCTTTCATCCAGCCTGGATCACGGGCACACGCATGTGCCCACACATAGGGAGACCCCAGGCTGTGAACCTGGGATTTTCCTGTGTGGGTTTAGCATTCTTGAATATTGTGTTACTGCCACACCACTGCAGGTGACCTTGGTAACCCTGAATTTTTTTGCATGTCTCATAATGAACAGATACATTGTTTGTATAGCCATGATACCACTGTCACACTTAAGAATTTAGCATTGATGGGATAATATTCTTTCTTGTATATTACCAGTCCATATTCCGATTCTCCAAATATGTATTTTTTTTTTGAGAGAGATTTTTTTGCTATAGGGCGCATGCGCTCGCCAGCCAGACAGAGAGAGACATAGAGACAGAAAGCGAGAAATCACCCCCCGGAGGGGATGGTCACGCTGCAGTCCCTTCTCCTCCCTTCTCCTCTAGGGATCTTGGGCACGCATGCACATGTGCCCGGCATGAGTTTTAAGCCACCGGGTCTGGGACGCGAACCGCGGTCGACTACGTGGGAGTCCAGCGACATAGCCATTATGCTAACTGCTGATTCCCTCTCCAAATATATTCTTATGTAACCTTTAAAATTCATTTATTTTTTTAAAGTGTAGAAAGATAGCCAAGCATCCTTACCAGGGTTTTTATGCTGAGATCTACTAGTTTCATCCTGCTTGAAGGGTATAGAGACACCTTGAGACACGAACCTAGGACCTTCCCTTATGGGTCCGGCATTGCAAAATGTCACATACTGTTCTATCGCCTTCTGGTCTAAACTTTAAACTTTTTTGATTCTGGGGTATAGATTACACATTACTTTGATTGCTGTATTATGAGTCTATTTAATCTAGAGTAGCATTTCTACACATCTTTATAGTTTTTGTAGAGTAATATTCCTATACTGTTCTAATCTAGAGTAGTGTAACTGCATTTTATATGACATTGATATTTTTGAAGAAATCAAGTTAATCTGGGAGAATGTTCTGTAGTATGAATTTGTCATGGCCAGCAGCTGGTGTGGTGGTTAAGGTGCTGGACTCCAACATGGCTGACTGTGGTTCAAGACCCAGACCTAGCTGCATGAAAATAATGCTAGGCACGTGTACGTGCATGCCCAAATCCCAAGAGGATAGTGGAGGAGGGGAAGATATTGAGGTGGGGCCATCCCACTTGGAGGGTGATTTCTTGCTTTCCATTTGTCTGTCTCTGTCTCTGTCCTGCAAGCACATGCACCCTATGGCAAATACCTAAAAAAGAAAATTTTTTTTTAATTAAAAAAATTCTGCTTTATTTTAAAAATATATGAATTTGTCTGCTGGTCTTCCTGACTAGATTCTGGTCATTTTTGGTGAGGAAAGACATAGGTGATAATTTGTGTGTCCTACACAGATGTGTCAAAAACCATAGTGTCAGATCCATTCTTGATAATGTTAAGTTGGATAAATTAATTTAAATTTAATTGTGTCTGCCTGTCTCTGTTATTAGGTGCCTTTTCTCTCCTTCTGATTATTAAGTAGTCTGCAGCGTAATAATTTCAGATCACTTGAATGTCCTATTCTCCAACAGCCTTTTACACACAGTGGTCTTAGCCTTTGATGAGTCTTACTTGCACTATTAAAATAATAGGTGAAAAATGGTGATTTAAGAAATTGTCATGCTTTCCACATTTATTAATAGCTATTCCTCTCTATTGAGGAGGTTCTTATCACCCCCTCCCACATTCTAATATTACTGTGGTTTTATGGAATCATTCTTGTTCAGCATATTAGACATTATCATCATTATTCTTTTCATGTCCAGGTTATCCCAACTTCAGCCAGAGGAACTCATTCAAGTCTTTCTTTGAAATGTTCCCATAATGAATTGAGTACTTACTTGCCTTCCAGTACAACTGTGTTCCATCTCTAGGTTCTGCCTCAGATCTGGAATTACCATTCCTTTAAGGAGCCATTTATTTATTTATTTATTTATTTTTTGGAGAGGTTTTTGCTATAGGGCGTGTGTGCTCGCCAGAAAGACAGAGAGAGACAGAGAGACAGAAAGCGAGAAATCACCCCCCAGGGAGGATGGCCACACTGCACTCCCTTCTCCTCCATTCTCCTCTCGGGAATTTGGGCACGCACGCACACGTGCCCAGCGTGAGTTTAAGCCACCGGGTCCGGGACTCGAACCGTGGTCGACTACAGGGGAGTCAAGCGACATAGCCATTACGCTAACTGCTGGTCCTGGAGCCGTTTATTTTTAAGCATACTTTGAAACCAAGAACTGGATCTTTTTTGCTCCTAGGGGGCTGTGGTTTCTTTGTACTTCCACTGTTCAAATCCAGTACTTTATGATTCTTCCTTACTTTCTTCCATTCCATTATAAAAAATTATTCATCTAATTTAATTATTATTGTTATTAAATTTGGCATAGGGCACATGCACCCAGCCGAGAGAAACGGAAAGAGGGAAAAGGAGAAAGCAAATTGCCAGGTCTGGGACTTGAGCTGTTGTCTGTCATGTGGAAGGAAGTCCAGTGCCCCAATCACCACACCAACTGCAGGTCCCCTTCCATTCTGTTTTTATTCATTTCGTCTCTCAGTGTGAGAACCCTTATTTCCAGGATGTCATCATCATTACTTATGTTATGCCACAGTCCCTTCTCCTCCATTTTCCTCTCTAGATTTTGGGTACACATGCACATGCACTGGTGTGTTTTTCAAGCTGATGGGTCTGGGACTTGAACCACGAAGTTGGGCATGTGGGATCCAGTGCCTTAACCACCACACCACTGGCCCCATTTATATCAATAGTTTCAGATTGCCACTTGAAAAGGATAGGTCTGCTAAATAAAGCTAAGGTCTCTTTCTTAGAGTATATTTTACTAAGGACTTACCAGAATGCTGTGTTCAAAAATTACTTGAATTTTTTTTCTTACCTATTTGTTATAAATTTGTGGCACAGTTTGGCTTTTTTGATTTTTACTGGTACTTAATTTTAAGATTTGCTTTTATTTTTCTAAGCTTTTCACTTAATTTTATGTTTTGAGTATGTAAAATACTTATATTGTTAAAAAGTCAAAATAGTATAAAAAATATGCTCAGACATCTCAGTCTCTTCCCTATCCTTTATGCTTTTTGCTTTCCTATACTCATATGTAAACATGTTGATTGCTTTTTAGTTTAAACTTCTTGTGTTTCTTTTTTCAGAAATAAGCTTACGTGTGCATATGAACACACTTCTTTAAATTCTTCTTTAAAAAAAGCTGATACACTCTCCAGTGAACAACATGAATTAGCAGTTATTTCATATCCGTTTATAGAGATGTTCCTCATTATTTTTAAATGGTTGTGTCAGTACCCTGTGGTACACATTTACCTTGATTTATTGATTATAGCTATTACTATAAAGTGTACTCAGACAGTGAATGTAACACCTAAAATGTCAGAAGCATGTGACATATATAATTAATGATTAAATCCTGCATTGCTTTCTTATATAGCAGATTGCAAATGCACATGCGAGATGCATATTTGATGAGGAAAAGTATACTTGGTAAAGTACTTGGGACAAGTGAGTACTGATTGCTAAGGCGTCTTTAAGAGTTATAAAGGATGTATGAGGTTATGGTTAGAAAAACATTCAAACACTGTGACATGGTGGTGAAGGGCGCTGGGCTTCCACATGGCCGACTACAGTTCGAGTCTTGGACATGGCAGATTGCTTTCTCACTTGCTCGTTCTCGCTCTCTCACATGCTCTCTCTCGGTATGTCCCTCTCTGGTTAAATTAAAATAAATACATAAATAAAGTTAAATAAAATAATTCTTTTAAAAAAAGTTCAAGCACTACATGAAGGGTACAAAGTAAAAGACTCTCATCCTCTCCCAGATATATCATTATAGGATTTTTAATTCTTCCAGAAATCTATTATAATATATCCATATTTGTATGTTTAAACAGATTTTTGCATATATAGTGTTCCAAATAGTCCTTTTCTTTTTCTTTTTTTTTTTTTTTTTTGGAGAGGTGTTTGATCTGGGGGGTGTGCCCTTTGGAGAGGTGTTTGCTATAGGGCGTGTGCACTTGCCAGAAAGACAGAGAGGCAGAAAGTGAGAAGTCTCACACACACACACACCCCAGTGGGGATAGCCACACCACAATCCCTTCTTCTCCATTCTTGTCTCAGGATCTTGGGCACGCACGCACATGTGCCCGGCGTGAGTTTTAGCCACTGGGTCCAGGACTTGAACCACATAGCCATTACGCCAACTGCTAGTCCCTCTTTTCTGTTTTTTAAGAGGTTTTTACCTTAGGGGCAAGTGTGCTTGCTTGCGAGAGAGAGAAAGAGAGAGACAGACAGACAGACAGTGACAGGGAAAGGGAAAACGAGAAATCAACCCCCAGGGTGGATGGCCACACCACAGTCCCTTTTCCTTCATTCTCCCAGGATCTTGGGCATACACTCAAACACTCCTGACCTGTTTTCCAAACCACCAGGTCAGGGACTCAAACTGCATTTGGCTCTGTGGGAGTCCAGTGATGTAACTGCTACACTATCTGCTGGCCTCTCTTTTTTTAAATTTGTGGAATATCTGATTATTTTGCACTGTGGTTATACATGTAGATCTTCCTCATTCATTATAAATGCTACATGGTATTCCTTCCTTTTCATTTAACTGCATAACAGCATACCATTGTTTTTAGGTTTTATAATCTTGAGTTTTTGTAAGAATGCCATGGTAAACATTCTTATATAGATATCCAGACACATGCATAAATCTGTAGAATAAATTCCTCCAGTGGAATCATTGAGTCAATGGGTATTTAAATTTTTGATAATTTTCAAATTGCCTTTCAAAATAGTGTTTTTTTGTTTTTTTTTTTTTAATTTTTATCTGTACCATGTGTGAGGTATACTACTGTTGTAATGACTATAGATTTTCATTATGTGGAGGTAGTATGTCATAATTTACTTGTAATACATTTTTGTATTGTTAGATATTTTAGGCTCTTAGTAATTTTGTTATCATTTTATACAATCCTTGTAAAGTTAAATGTATGCTCATATCTTTACATAATTTACATAATTTTCTTGGAAACTTATAAAATTGAAATTGCTTGATAAAAGCCATAGAATTTTTTTAGGGTATTGATAACTGTTGCAAACATCTGATGAGAAGGGTTATACAAAAGCCAAGTTTTTTGCGAATGTGCCAAACACTGGAGTGTTAACGTTTTTTAATCTTTTGTTGATTTTAAAAAAGATAAATGACATTTGTTTTTAACTTACTTGATTATTGATGAACTGAATTTTTTATACTTCACAGTTATTTTTAAAAATTTCTTTTTTGGGACCAGGAGATGGTGTAATGGTTCTATCACTGGACTTCCATGTAGTCGACCGCAGTTCACGTCCTGGACCTGGCAACTTAAAACTCACACCAGGTGCGTGTGTATATGTGTCCAAAATCCCGAGAGGAGAATGGAGGAGAAGGGATTGAGGTGTGGCCATCCCCTTTCTCCCCCATTGGGGGGTGGCTTTTCACTTTCTGTCTCTGTTGAGTGCACATATCCTGTAGCAAAAAATATCTCTCCCTCCCAAATTTTTTTTAAATAATTACTTTATTTATTATTATTATTATTATTATTTTGTAATTTTAACCAGGGAGAGACAGAGAGAGGGAAACTGAAAAAGCCAGCCTTCAGGTCCAGGACTGGACCACGGTCGGCCATGTGGATTCTAGCGTCTTAACCACTATGCCCACACTGGTCTCAATTCTTAAAAAAATTTGTGTTCATGTCTTTTATAATTTTTTTTTTTTGTTTGGGGTTTTGCTTATTGATAAGATTATTTATTGTTTCTTATTTATTTTTAGAATTTTGCCATTGGGCATGTGTGCTTCCCTAGAGAGACAGAGACAGAGAGAAAGAAATAACCCCTCAGGAGGTATGGCCACACTGTAGTCCCTTCTCCATTCTTCTCTTAGGATTTTGGGCACATCAGCACCCGCACCGGCATGTTTTTCAAGCCACTGATCCAGGACTCTGAGAGACTCAGACTGTAGAATTGGCCATGTGGGATGCAGCCTTAAACACCACACCACCTGTTGACCTCAGTTACTGTTATTTAAAAAAAAAAAAAAAAAATTGCTACAGGACTTGTGTGCTTCCTGGGATGAGACAGATAAAGAAAGAGAAAACACCCTTTGGAGGGATGGCCACACTACAGTCCTCTCTATTCCATATTCCTTTTAGGATTTGAGCATGCATGTACAAGTGCCTGGTGTGTTAGGGACTCAGAATGCACTATCAGCCATGTGGGATCCAGCAGCCTTAACCACCATGCCATTGACTGGTCCAGAAAGGTGGTTTATATTAGAAGATTATTAAACCTTTCTTAAATAAATTATAAATACTTTTCTTCTAGTTCTTTAATTGTCCTTTTTCATATAGAAGTTGACAGTATGTGTGTAGTTAAATTTATTAGTGTTATGCCTACAAAGATATTTGTGTACCTCAATATTACATAAATAATCATTTACATTTTTTGTTGTTGTTGTTGCCTTAGGGTGTGTGTGTGCTTGCCAGAGAGAGAGGGAGAGACAAAGACAGTGAGTCAGAAAGGCAGAAATCACCCCCCACTTGAGGGGTGGGGGGATGGCGTCACTTCAGTTCATTCTCCATTTTCTTCCTGGGATCTTGGGCACTTATATACATGCATCCAGCATGAGTTTAAGCTACTGGATCTGGGACTCAAACTGCATTTAGCCACATGGGACTTCATCATCATAACCACTACACCATCTGCTGGTTCCTACATTTCCTTCTAAAGGTCTACCATTTTATTTATTTTTTTAAGTTATTTTAACTTATTTTAATTTGACCAGAGAGGGACAGTGAGAGAGAAAGACAGGGAAAGGGAAAAAGCAAGCTGCCAGGTCCAGGAATCGACTCATAGTAGGCCACGTGGGAGTCTAGCGCCCTTAACCACCACACCACCTGCCAGCCCTAGGGCCTACTATTTTAAACACCAAGATTAGGGGACCAGCAGTGGGCATAATGACTGTGCTGCTGAACTCCCATGTAGTTGACCACGGTTCACCCGGACCCGGTGTCTTAAACTTATGCCGGGCATTGTGTGTGCGTGCCCCAGAAAGCGAGAAATCACCCCCCAGGGGGGATGGCCACACTGTAATCCCTTCTCCATTCTCCTCTCAGGATCTTGGGCACGCACGCACATACGCCCGGTGTGAGTTTTAAGCCACCGGATACGGGACGCAAACTGTGGTCGAGTACGTGGGAGTCCAGCGACATAGCCATTACGCTAACTGCTGGTTCCCCCCAATGTATTTCTTAAGCCACTTTGTCTTGGACTTGAACTGTGCGGTTAGCCATGTGGGATCCAGCCTTCTCAATCTCCATGCCACTTGCTGGCCTTATTTAGTTAATATTAAAGGAAATAACTTTTAAAAGACACTTTTAGGTTTGTTAATTCTAGATTTGTTACTTGTTTAAAAAGAATTTAATTTATTTTACTTTATTATTATTACTTAATTTGATTGGGCGGGGGAGTGAGAAAGCAAGCTGTCAGGTCCAGGACTTGAACCTCAGTAGGCCATGTGAGAATCTAGTGCCTTAACCACCATGCCACCTGCCAGCCCCGTTAATTACTTTTTATGTTCCCAGTGCCTCATCTTTACTTTTTGTACATCAGTATTTTGTTTTTAAGAATTTTTAGTTCTAATTTTTTCTGTTTTCATAAATATACAGAATGGTAGCTGAGTATGTTGAATGTCTTTTACATTAATAAAGTTGGAAGTTTCTTTTAACCAAAATTTTTGTGTTACGAAGATGATTTTAAATTATTTTTACTAATAATCATAGAAAATGAAGGAGAGTAATTTCAGCTTTCATCTGAGTTTCGGCTAGGGCTTCAAACACTCTATGTGCAGACTTCCTGTACTTCAGTTTCCTCAGGTATAAAATAGTAGCAGTGATGCCCTGGAAGGTCATTATATGAGGAATATTAAAATCACGCCTTAAGTTTTCTGTAGATATTCATCGAAGTGGTGAGTAGAAAAGGAATACAGTAGTTTCCCCTTACCTATGGTTTTATTTATATTCTAAGCCTTTCCTCCCATCCAGTGCCTGAAATTTCAGACAGAACCGAACCTTACATATTAATACAATGGGTTGGGGCCAGCAGTTGGCCTAATGGTTATGGCACCGGACTCCCATATACCCGACTGTGGTTTGAGTCCCGGACCCGGTGACTTAAACTCACGCCGGGCATGTCTGCATGCATACCCAAGATCCCGAGAGGAGCATGGAGGAGAAGGAATTGCTGCATGACCATCCCCTCAGGAAGTAATTTCTCACTGTCTCTCTGTCTCGCTTTGTCTTTCTGGGGAGTGCATGTGCCTTATAGCAAAAAAAACTGCCCCCCCCCCAAAAAAAATAATGGGTCTTGGAAAAGTCATGACATATTTGTGAATAGGAAACCAGAAAAATGTCATGCCTTTTCTGATGACCCAATATTATGCTTTATTCTGTAGATATATACCTGTGAGAAAGTTTAATTAATAAAGGATAGTAAGAGATTAATAGCGGGACCAGCACTTGGCATAATGGCTGTGTTGCTGGACTCCCATGTAGTTGACCAAAGTTCGAGTCCTGGATCCAGTACTTAAGCTCACATCAGGCACGTTTGTGTGCATGCCCAAGATCCCAAGAGGCGAATGGAGGAGAAGGGATTTGCGGCTTGGGCATCCCCCCGGGATGATTTCTCTCTTCCTTTCTGTCTCTGTCTTTCTGGCGGGCATACGCGCCCTATAGCAAAAACCTCTCCCCCCAAAAAACCAGATTACTAGCAATAACCAATAATAAAGTAAAAGTATTAAAACTGTACTGTAATATGTTACGTGAATGTGGTCTGTCATTCTCTTGCTTATAAAATAGTCTGACTGTATTGTGCTTATCTGTCAGATCCTCGGGAAATCATAATGTATTTTTCAGTTTTTCTATGCAAAAACATGACTTTTCTGACAACCTAGTATTTCGAACTGTTGTTTACCTCAGGTAACTCAAACTGTTGAATAGAAAAGGAGGACTATTTAAAACTTTGGATATGCTGAATGATGTGTAAAATTGTTTTGCTTCTGTTTCTTTGAATGGTTTAAGTACAAATACATTTATTTGCTTTTTTTAGGAGGATACATTTTTTTTAAAGGAGCAACTTCGTAAAGCAGAGGAACAGGTTCATGCTACCTGGCAAGAAGTTGTCTTTCTGGCTAAGGAACTTAGTGATGCTGTGAATGTGCGAGATAAAGCAATGGCAGATCTGCATACTGCACGGTTGGAAAATGAGAAAGTAAAAAAGCAGTTGGCTGATGCAGTGGCAGAACTTAAACTGAATGCTGTGAAAAAAGATCAGGTAAAGCAAGTTAATTTTGAATTTTCATGTAGATTTAAAACAAAAAAATTAAAAAAGAGTAATTTGTGTTGAAATAAATTAAGTCGGACTCCTGGTCAGAGAATTTTAAATATTCATTCATTTTGTTCAGACATTCTAATTTCCTGGGTTGAAATTAATGTAGGGACCAGCAAATGGCATAATGTTTTCATCGCTGGGCTCCGACATAGTCAACCGCAGTTCGAGTCCTGGGTCTGGTGGCTTAAAACTCACGTTGGGTACATGTGCGTGCATGCCCAAAATTCCAAGAGGAGAATGGAGAAGGGATTATGGCCTGGCCATCCCCCGGGGGGTGATTTTTGCTTTCTGTCTGGTGTGTGCACGTACCCTATAGCAAAAATCTCTCTTAGAAAAAAAAGAAAAGAAACAAAAATTCTGATTATTGGTAAAAGCAGCTCTGTAATTCTTTTGATGTCAGGTATGTGTATTTTGCTTTTGGAATTTCTTATTTAGTTACTGTATAAAAACCTGGTTATTTAAGAGGAACAATTGCTCCTTAGGAGGTGGATTATTTTTCTCTAGTTTTTAAATGAATTTTAGTCCTAAAAGTATAAAGATGGATTTCTTAAGAGAGCTAATGGGGTTCTACTATCTAAACCCCAAAACAAAATGAAACGCCAGAAAGGAGCTAGTGAAAATAAAATTGGGATTTGCTATTAAATTTTGAGGTTTAAAAATTTTACCTTTTTCTTAGAGCTAGTGTTTGTTTCTTTCTTAGGAAAAGAATGATACATTGGAACATGAACTGAGGAGAGAAGTCGAAGATCTGAAACTTCGTCTTCAGATGGCTGCAGATCACTATAAAGAAAAATTTAAGGAATGCCAGAAGCTCCAGAAACAAATAAACAAACTTTCAGACCAATCGGTATGTGTTACTGAATTCATACACAGTAAAATATTTCTTTAATCAATATTTTTGTTTGCAAATCGAATTGATAGCATTCTAAATCTCAGCTTTTTGAATGTAATTTATTTCTGCTTGGGTTTCAAGCCATTTGTTTAATAGCATAACTAATAATATAATAGCATCTTTTAAAAAAACCTGAAATGTGTATTTGCTGGAGCATCAACAAAGGAAAAAGGCCAATAGTGAGAAAATACAGGAGAAAATATAGGAGCGTGTGCTCTTTTTTAGACCATTCCCTCCTACTTAAAAAACCGCAGTACATACTGTTGATTGTCTCTTGTGACAATGATGTCTATTCTCTTTGGAATTGACCGGTAATCATCTCTTGGGTCTTAAATGGCTTCTCAGTTGTCATCCCTGCGTTCCTTCATCCTACTTACGTATACTAGATTAGGAAGAGTTAGAATCTTAGCTAACTTGAGTTCCATTTGAGGATAGGCAGAAAGATTTGTAATAATACAAAGAAACTTTGTTTGAGGTATATCTTTTAACCTGGGCCATTGAATTGTACTTAAATACAATCTTGCTGTGTGAGTCCTAGAAGTATAAAAGAAGCTTGACGTAAAACCTGAAATTGAAAGTAGTACCACCGTTCTTAAACTGTACGACACAGATGATATTTAATTTGTTTTACTCTTTTGAAATCTCAAAGGAGATAAAGAAGCAAGCCGTTCATGTGGTAAAGTAGGAGGGCTTTGTGGAAAAAACATACTTTATTACTCACTGGTATAGGTTTTGGTTTGGGATTTTTTGAGCACAGTATGACTTCATAAAAAACTTGTGAGAATGTGCTCTCTCTGAATGACTATTTTGGGTGGTATTTTTAATGATTTCACAAAAAGAGAAATAAAAGAAATATTTTTCTTTTACAACATTTAGATTAGTTAGAAAGCTAAAGTACCTAACTTTAGTTTTCGTTGGCTTTTAAGATGAGCGACTTTGTGAACTTCTTGGGATTTCTTTTTATGATTATTATTTTTGTAGTTAGAGAGGGAGAAAATATGCATGCAGTGACTCATAATTTATTGTTGACATTTTAAATAGGCTAATAATACAAAGAAAATTGGAAATCAGCAAAAAGTGAATGATGTTTCAATAAACACAGACCCAGCTACTTCTGCCTCTACTGTAGATGTAAAGATACCATCTTATGCAGGTATAATCTTTTTATACTTCTGTGTAGGGTGTCCTGTCTTGAAAAGTGTGTATATTTATACTGCCTCTTTCCATGTGTAAGAATTTCAGGGTATTTGCAGAAGTTCTTAAGTTGTGAGTGAGGGGATTCAGGCAAGGGTAAATAAGAGTGTACACATTAGAGAGTCACGCCTGTGTTAAATGGCCAGCATTGTGGCCCAGTGTTGAAGGGAACCAAGTCTCATGTAGCAGACTGTGGTTCAGATCCTGGCTCTGGTGACTCGAAAAACATACCAGTTGCATGTGCATATTCCATTCATGCCCCAAATCCTGACAGGGTAGAGAAATGGAAAAGGGATTGCAGTGTGATTGCACCTCACCGTGGAGTGTCTTCCTTCTTTCCTTGTCTTTCTCTTCGACTGGCAAGTGTATGTACCCTCTGGCAAAGGCAAAAGAGAAAGGAGAAAGAGTACACAGAATGTGAATTTAAACTACTTTTTTTTTTTGTGAGAATATTCATTGTTAAAAATGTGCTGATGTGGGCCAGCAGATGACATAGAGTTAGGACTCTGGCTGCCACGTGGGCACCTTCATGGTTTGAATCCCATATGTGGGAACATGTGTGGGATGTCCAGAATCCCAAGAGGAGAACAGAGGAGAAGGGATTGTAGTTTGGCCATCCTTGCTGGGAGGTCATTTCTCTTTTACCCTCTCTCTCACTGTCTGGTGTGCACCTGTGTGCCTGGCCATATAGAAAAGAACTTAAAAGCACCTGTACTTTTTTTTGAGTTCTCATTTGGGCTATATAGGACAACAATAAAGAAATGAATTTAAACTTTATCTTCAATTAAACTATGAAATTTCAAAATATTTTATCTGTGCCATTTTAATATTCTAATTCGTTTTTTTTTTTTTTGGAGAAGTTTTTGCTATAGGGTATGTGTGCTCACCAGAAAGCAGAGAGACAGAAAGTGAGAAATCACCCCCCAGGGGGGATGGCCATGCTTCAATCCCTTCTCCTCCATTCTCCTCTTGGGATCTTGGGAATGCACGCACATGCACCCAACGTGAGTTTAAGTCACTGGGTCTGGGACTCAAACTTTGGTCGACTACATGGGAGTTCAGCGACATAGCCATTATACTAATTGCTGGTCCCTTAATTTTTTAATTCTGTGAGGGGAATTCCCTCCCTTTTCATCTCCGGTTTCTCAACTTTTCTGATTTGGTTGCATTAGATTACTAGGGCACTTTCCTCATTAGTGTACATTGGTATAATAAAAATTTAAATCATAAGTTTTTATTTAACTTAATAGAACAGATGAGAGTGACAGTAGTGAATACATTAATAACATGAAATTTGAATTAGCTCCCAAGTTTTTACCTGTCTTAATTTTCCTTACTACTTTTATGTAAATCAAAGATTAGACAGTAATGAAAATAAATATTGGAGAAAATATGAGGGGACTTCAAAAATTAATGCAGGGACCAGCAGTTAGCATAATGGCTATGTCTCTGGACTCTCATGTAGTCAATCGCGGTTCATGTCCTGGATCCAGTGGCTTAAACTCACACTGGGTGCGTGTGCATGCGTGCCCAAGATCCTGAGAGGAGAATGGAGAAGGGATTGTTGGCATGGCCATCCCCCCTGGGGGATGATTTCTCGCTTTCTGTCTCTTTGCCTGTCTTTCTGGCGAGCACATGCACCCTCTAGCAAAGACCTTTCAAAAAAAAAAATTAATGGAGAAATTGAATTAAAATAAAAGTTTATGCAGGTGCTATATATATATATATATATACACACACACACACACACACACATATATATATATATATATATATATATCTTTGTTCATTGTGTGAGCTAATTGATGGTTTAGTCTTTTTTTCTTTCTTTCTTTTTTTTTTTAGGATTTTATTTTTGCCATAGGGCACACATGCTTGCCAGAGAAAGAGACAGAGAAAGGGAAAGTGAGAACCCCTCCACCCCTCAGGAGGGATGGCCCTGCTGCAGTCCCTTCTCTGTCCTCTTGGGATTTGGGGCACACAAGTACATGCTCCTGTAGTGATTTTCAGTTTGTTGGGTCCAGGACTTGAACCATGGTTATCCATGTGGCTGTCCAGCACTTTAACCACCATGCCAAATGCTGGCCCCAATGGGTTAGTCTTTTAATGTACCTAGACTACGAAATACTTAACTAGTTCAACATTAGTAGAGCAAGGTCCCGTCTTCCATTTCTGTGTATCATTTGTAGTACCTAGAATAGTGTTATAAAGTATTTACTTAGTGTGGTAATAAAATGAATGGTGATGAAGGACTGGAAAATGGTTTTAAATGTATTCTCAAAAAATGACATTTTTCTTACTCTACTACTGTCTATTTAGTTACATAAGGGGAACAAATTTTGTGCCGTTTTGAAACTGTTTTTGTAAGTTAAAAATGAGTAAATAGGAGCCTGCAGGTGGTGTAGTGTTTAAGGCACTGGACTCTCCCAGACGATCGACTGTAGATTGATTCCCGAACTGGCAGCTTGAAACTCACACTAGACATGTGTGGGTGTGTGCCTGAAATCCTGAGAGGAGAAGGGATTATGGCGTTGCCATCTTTGGGGGGTTGATTTTCTTTCTCTCTGTCTCTTCAGTGAGTGCACGTGCCCTATAGCACAAATCTATATTTTTTAAAAAACACGAAGATAATAAATAGAGTAAGCCTTGACTGATTTGATGGTTTAGTGCACTGCTCAATGTGTTGGATCCATACAGAAAATTGTGGGTTTGGTTCCTTGGTCAACTTGTACTTGTGGAGAACATGCGTCTAAGGATCTGGCTGGCTGGGATGGAGGTTGCAGCCTGAGACCCTGTTGAGAGTGCTGGTCTCTCTATCTCTTTGTCTTTGTTAGTCACATGGAAGAAATAAAAATTTTAAAGAATGATTCTTTTCACTCTTATTTATTATTTTTCGGTTTTTACCATAGCATGCATGTGCTCACCAGAGAGAGACAGAGAGAGGGAAAGTCACACTCTAGGGTGGATAGCCACAGCACAGTCCCTTCTCCTCCTAGGATTTTGGGCATGCAAGCACATATACCTGGCATTGAATTCAAAGCCGATAGGTCTGGGACTCAGAATGTTATTGGCCATGTGGGATCCAGTGCCTTAATCACCATGCCACCTGTTGGCTCTGTTATTTACTCATTTTAAAAGTTTATTTCTTCCATGAGAGAGAGAGATAACATGCCTGATAGAGTTGATGACCCTTGGCTTAGCCAGCTCCAGGTTATGGGCGATATGTGCCTGTCAAACTCAGGGATGCCTGCAGGTACAAAACCAAAACCTGCCCATTTGGTTCTGCCTCACAGAGTCTTGCCTTTTACTGCAGCACCACTGTCTGACCCCTAAAGTTTATTTTATCTTTCATGAGAGAGTGAGACACAGAAAGAGAGAGAGTGTACATGCATGTGTACATGAGTCATCTTCAACAGGGTCTCCCTGGTCTTCAGAGAGAGAAAGAGGGAGGGAGGGAGGGAGGAACACTCTTAATAGTGTCTGGTGCCATGGTTCTGTGGCCCTTCCCCCACTGCCAGCCTGCAGCTCTCTCAGCCAGCCAACGTAAGTGTGTGTGCCTGGCATGTACATGTCAACCAGGAAACTGAATCTGCAGTCTTTATAGAGATCCAGCCTTGAGCTGGCTAAGCCAAGGATCATTGAGCTGCATGTAGTTTCCATTGCATCCCCAACTGGTCCAGCTCTTTTATTGTTGAAATTGTTTCTGGCCAAACTGACCAGCAGGTGGCATGTAGATTAAGGTACATGGTGGTCTATGATTTGAGTCCTGGACCTGGCAGCTTGCTTTCTCTCTCTCTCTCTCTCTCTCCTCTCTGATGACTATAGCAGGTTAAAAATAATAATGATAATAATTATAATAAAATGAAATACATAATTCTTAAAATTTGCACCTAGAGCTTATGCATGTTTATTTAGGATTTGAATAAATGCTTTCTCTCCTTTGGAATACCATTTATTATATTTCAGGATATACTAACCCTTAAATTATTTTGAACAGGAGGGTAAATATAAGGGGCAGAATACTTTTTAATCTTATTTTCTTCCTGGTTACAGTGGATACTGATTTTGACATGGTAACTAAGGGGCAAGTTAGCGAAATGACCAAAGAAATTGCTGACAGAACAGAAAAATATAATAAATGTAAACAACTCTTGCAGGTAAGTTAGCTTCCTTTTAAGTGAAAGATAGATTTATCAAAAGTAAATGGCTTAACTTGCCCGTATTGTTTAGATTGGTCCTCCGGGTTTTCTTTTCCATCCCTATATACTGCTATTGAATTTTACTTTTGCTTTTGGGATGATGAGGATGTTTTATGTACCTGCTCATATGGGCCTGTGTGTAAAATTATAATCCTAAAGTTACTGTTTTCTGTTCACCTAATAAAATATCCATATTTGGACAATGAGGTTGGAAAATATTATCTGTCATTTTATTATGAAGATGTGTGGGAAATATTTGGATTTCATGAAAGAAAAGTGTTGCAAATTTTCTGTAAGAAAAGCAAAGTATTTTATCACATCTTAAAGTGACCACATTTGCAAAATGTAAAAGGGAATGTCAATCAAATGAATTGTTGTCTCTGACAGTGCTACTATCTGTATAATTTTTAGCTTTTTAGTTTTGTAACTTTCTTGGTTGCATTCACTCTTGGAGTGTTTTAAAGGACAAGGAAAAATGCTTTTCATTTATACCTAATTTTTTAAGTAGAGAGGGAAAGCGGGTTTGTGTTTGGGTATGTGATTTTTGATTATTTAATTAAATTTTTTTGCATTTTTTTATGCATGTGGGATGGGGAGGGGTATTTTTTTGAAGCTATAGAATGAAATTCATATATTGGTTCAGTGTAACTATAGTAATTAAAATTTTTTTATGTTACTCTATTAATTGTAAAACATCAAAAAAATCTGTTAAACTTTTAACTGAATTTTTTTTTTTTTGCATGAAAAGGGCCCTTTTGTAGAAGGCTTGATTAAAACTGTTTGTTTTTGTTTTTCTTTTTTCATTTGAGAGAGGTGCTTATACTTGCTGGAGAGGGAGAAGGGGAAATGGAGAGGGAGGGAGGAAGAGAAGGAGAAAGAAAGGATAAGAAAGCATTCCTTAGTGGGGAGAGGCTGTTCCTTTTCTTCATCCATTTGGTAGCCACTTGTGCACGTGCCTGGCCTCCTTTGTCAAGATGCTGGGGCCAGGATTTGAACCGTGCTGTCAGCCATGTGGAATCTGACTCCTTAATCATTAGGCCATGTGGCCAGCCTAGTTGTAACAATTTTATACTTGAGTTCAAAGTAGTTGTTTATAAGAGACTGAACAACATTTTTTATTGATGACACAATTATGGGTGAATATTTAAAATTTTTATTCTGTGGTAATAATATTGAAAGGAAGGTAGGATAATGTCTTTTCAGGCAGAAAACGTCAAGGTAACTTTTAAAAAGCACCCTTGTATGCAAGGCTGTGGAGTGGCTCTTTATTTGTTCTTTTAAAGACAGAATCTTGATATTTTGTGATCTACCAGCTTTGACTTCCTGGCTGGGGACTACAGGTACACACCACCGTGCCTAAGCTCTTTTTTTAGATTGGGTCTTGTGGTGTTTCCCAGGCCAGCGTCAAGCTGGTGATCTTCCTGCCTTGCTCTCCTCATTTGCACATGCCAGTCCCAGTCTTCCTCGTATATCCTTTTGGAAGTACAACCATTAGTCTGGGGTCTCCTTTGTTATTAATTTGCTTTTCTATAAGGACTTGATATTGAACATCCTTTTCTTATGTTTATCTTATACTTGTATATCTTTTTTTGTGTGTGAGTGTTCAAATCTTTTGCCATTTAAAAAATTGGGATGTTCATCTTGAATTGTCAGTGTTCTTTGTTCTGGGTACAAAGTTCTTTGACATATGGATGTCTGTTTTCTTGTAGTCTGTAGCTTGCCTTTTTAGTTCCTAAATGGTGTTTTTTAGAAAAATCAAACTTTATATCAGTATGGTTTATTAGTTTATTCTTTTTATGTTTGGTATTTTTTATGTTGTAAGAACACTGTACTAAGCCAGGGTCATACAGATTTTTCCCTGTTCTCTTTTAGCAGTTTTTTTTACGAGTTCTTTTTTGTTTTTCTTTTTGTGCCATTGGGTGTATATTTTTGCTGGAGAGAAAGAGTGCGAGAGAGACAATGAAAGAGAAAGTGAGAAATCACCCCTTGGGGGAATGACCACACTGCAATCCCTTCTTCTCCATTCTCCTGGGATCTTGGGCATGCACATGCACACACCTGGTGATTTTTCATGCCACTGGGTGCAGTACTTGAACTGGGTCAGCCATGCGGGAGTCCAGCAATGTAACCACTGTGCCACTTGCTGGCCCCTGTTCTAGAAGTTTCATAGTAAGATTTCACAATTAGGTATGCAAGTGTTTCGAATTTTTGTATGTATGGTGTGAGGTACAGAATGTATGGAATGGATATTCAATTGATTTAGTATTATTCGTTTTTTCCTTGAATTGTTCAAAGCATAAACTTTGAACAAATACATTCAAAATGAAATTGACCTTTGTACCTTTTGTCTTGATTTGTAACTCTTGTAATGTTCTGGATTATAGAAATGAGCCATATATAAGAAATCAATTTAGAAATTATCTTGGTCAGGAAATCTTGAAGTTTTGTTTGTCAGTGCCTAGACACAGCAGGATTATAGATGCATGCTTTTTATTTCCTCCCTTTGTAAAAGTGTAATATTGTGAAATGTTCAACATCATCGAAATAAAGAATTAAGGTGCTAATCACAGGTACTTCTGTGATTGTGATCTCCAGAAATAAGAGCTATTAGTATTTTGGTTTATGCTTTTCTATACAGCATCGACCATAGATATTAGATATAATTGTGTAAAATAACTTACAAACAAAAATAGGATTATACTATTTTGAAGCAATATTTTTAAATATCTTGATTTTTTTTTGAACTGGTACATTTTCTTTTTTTAAATTTTTAAAATATTTTTTAGAGAGTTTTTTGCTATAGAGCATGTGCACTCATCAGAGAGAAACAGAGAAATTAAGCAGGAAATCATCCCCTGAGTGTCTGGCCATGCCGAAATCGCTTCTCCATTCTCCTCTTGGGATTTCGAACACACATGCACATGCACCTGGCCTGAGCTTTAAGCCACCGGATCTAGGATTTGAACCATAGTTGACTATGTGAGAGTCCAGAAACGTAACCATGACACCATCTGCCGGTCCCTGTACATTTACCTTTTTCTTTTCAACAGATACATTGTGCAGATACAAAATGATTTATTCAGCTTCCTCTTTTTTTGGAGAGGTTTTTATGATAGGGTGCATGCGCTCGCCAGACAGACAGAGTCAGTCATAGAGGCAGAAAGTGAGAAATCACTCCCAGGGGAGATGGCCATGCTGCAGTCGCAATCCCTTCTCCATTCTCCTCTTGGGATTTTGGGCATGCACACACACGCACCCGGTGTGAGTTTGAAGTCACCAGGTCCGGGACTTGTACCACGGTCAACTACATGGGAGTCTAGCGACATAGCCATTATGCTAACTGCTGGTCCCTCAGCCTCCTCTTGATAGCCATTTAGTTATTTACATTTTATACTGTTAGGATGGTGTTAAAATAAGCATTCAGCATGTATTTAAGTACATTTGTGTGGATGTTTGCTCTATATGTATTTAAAAATGTTTTGGTAATTTTCTTAATTTCATTTAGGATGAGAAAATAAAATGCAATAAATATGCTGATGAACTTGCAAAAATGGAGCTGAAATGGAAAGAACAAGTGAAAATTGCTGAAAATGTAAAACTAGAACTGGCCAAAGTAGAGGACAAATATAAAGTAAGTTTAACACTTGCATGTAAATTTGAGGCTCATAGTACTTGACGCTTTTGAAAATATGTTACCTATAATTTTTATTAGTCAACGTATTTTTTTTTTTTTAAGAAAGATTTTTGCTATAGGGCACATGTGGTTACCAGAGAGACCGAGAGAAAGAGAGAAATCAATCCTTGGGGGGATGGCCGTGCTACAGTCCCTTCTACTCCATTCTCCTCTTGGGATTTTGCGCACCCATGAACGCATGCGCACACACACGTGTGCACCCAGCGTGAGTTTTAAGCTGCCAGGTCTGGGATTTGAACCATGGTCAACTATCACGGAATCCAGTGATGTAACCATTACACGATTTGCTGGTCCTATCAATGTATGTTTTTAATTGGATAATTGTGTTAGTGTTTTCCTCTAAATAAAAATGTACTATATATTTAGTTATGTCAGGTGTAGTTCATTAACTATGAACTGAGACAATAGATAGCCATATGCATTACTATTGTGGCTCTAGTACTTTGGATTTAGCGAGCTATCAGAATATTGTCTTTTGCTTGTGCTTATTTTTAAAGATGAAAAATGATCAATTTAATTTTTTTTTTTTAGAGAGAGATTTTTGCTATATGGCACATGTGCTTGCCAGAGAGACAGAGACAGACAGAAAGTGAGAAATCACCACCCAGGGAGGATGGCCATGCTGCAATCCTTTCTTCTCTGTTCTTCTCTCTGGATTTTGGGCGTGCATATGCACACGCCTGATGTGAGTTTTGAGCTGCTGGGTTCAGGACTCAAACCTTGGTTGATTATGTGGGAGTCCAGTGGCATAACCTTTACGCCATTTACTGGTCCTCTTTTTACTTATATTAAAACAAACATGAATGTATTATGTAAAATTATTTTATGACCTTGACAGTTTTTTTTGCAGTATATTCTATCAGTAATTTTTAAAATTTTTGCCAGTTTTAGAATTTATCACTCAAGTCTGTTAATATCCTAATGAATAATGCAGAGTGATAGACTATTAAATTATTTTTGCCAATATAATGTTGCCTTTAGAAAAACCTGAATGAGAAATAATTTTTAAAAATGTTAGACATGAAATTTAGCAGGTTGTCTAGCTAGTTAATAAGTAGAAAAATATTATCCATTTAAGGAATAAAGTGTAATTTGATATATTTAAAAAATCTGATATATGGGGCCAGCAGGTGGGGTGGTAGTTAAGACACTGGACTCCCACATGACTTCCAGTCTTTGAGTCCTGGTGTTGGTGGCTTTTTATCTCACCCTCCCTTCCCCCTTTCCATTTGTGTCTGGTGAGTGCATATGCCCTATAGCAAATTAAAAAATGATAATATAAATAAAATACTTATTTAAAAAATCTGATATATGTATTGTCAAATATGTCAGATTATACTTTATTATACATAAGTATATATGTGTGTATGTTTATATTTTATGTATGCATAAATGCGTTTTACACATGTATGTATATATAGTTTATTTTTTCTTCTGGTGACTGAAGACCAGGAAGGGTTTTATTTTTTATTATTTATTTATTTTTATTATATTTTTGCCATAGGGCATGTGTACTTACCGGCAAGAGAGAGGAAAAAAGTAAGAAACCACCCCTCAAGGGTGACAGCCCCACTGCAATTCATTCTCCATTCTCCTCTTGAGACTTTGGGCACTGGATTTTTTTTTTCCTAATTAAATTTTATAATTTCTTACTTACATTTAATTGTACATTTTTATGGTGTATAATGTGGTTTTTCAAAGCATGCATATACATGTAGCGTGTGATAATCAAATCACCGTTGTTACCATATATGTTGAACAAAGAGCCTTACATTCTTGGGTAAAATTTTTTTTTTTTTTTCCTGAACTCCTAACAGCCACCTCCTACCATCTATCCCCCTTTTGTGTACTCTCTGGTATCTATGTTATATTCTCTATTTTTGTGAAAGACCAATAAGTTTTAAATGATTTAACCTTGCTATATCACAGCTAACTTCACTTATAATTTAGTTTTTAAATTAGAATTAATTTAGCTTTCCTCCATGAAGTCTGGAGACTTCCATGTTGCAGGCTAAGATAATGTTACTGGTGGTCCTTTTATTTATTTTTTAACCTTCATTTACTGTCAGAATGAAGTTTTGAAACACATATTTGATGAGATTATTACTGTTTTGGGGATTCCTGTGGCTATTGTTTTCAGTGGTTAGCAATTTCCCTTATTATTTATAAAGTATAAATAATAAATTTATATGATTTTTTTCATTTTGACTAGAAAAATATTAAATATTTATTGATGCCTGTAAGACATAAAGCATTATGTTAGCATTATGTGGTGAGAAAATAAGGCACAATGCTATGGTTAGGGGTTTATAATTTAATAGGAATTGCTAGAAGTATAATGGTAATAGTCATAAAACTTTCATGTTTACTACTGTAGGTAATGATCTTTCAAACCCATGGGAAGCTAAACAGATAATATTTTTAATTCATTGATGCAAAAAGTGAGCATTGAGTTTAAGATTGTACAGCTGGTAAATGTGTTTGGCTTTTTATTTAATGTCTTTCCCCCACTGGCACTGTTTTAACACAGACTAAACTGACCAAACAATGCAGTATGTGATAAAGTTCCATGTGAATGATAAATTTAAATGTCTTAGGATTGTTTTCAATCCAATATTTAGGAGGAAGAAATTATGGGGAAACTAGAACTCTGAAAAGACCAAACTGGAGGGGAGTTGAAGCAGAGTTAGGAGAAAGAGAAAGAAGCGTTCTAGGCAGATGGAAGAACATTAATGCAAGTTTAAAGGTCAGAAGTGGAGAGTGAAGTCTGGGAACTGTGAACAGCCTTGAGTAATAGGACTTTAATTATCACACTTGCATGATAGCTTGAAACCAGAGTTTGGAAGACCTAAAATAGAATTTGGATACTAGCTGCTGCTAAGAATTTTCTAAGAGAAAAACAATCACCTATAGTGGGTCTTTGTGAAAATAATTTGGTAATATCAAAGAGTATATTTAGGTGGAAAATGTTTAAAGATGAGGAAATCAGGTAGCTGTATTCTTTTATTTATTTTAAGTGCTTGCGTGCCCAAGATCCCGAGAGGAGAATGGAGGAGAAGGGATTGCGGCGTGACCATCCCCTCTGGGGGGCGATTTCTCGCTTTCTGTCTCTATGTCTCTGTCTGGTGAGCGCACGCGCCCTATAGCGAAAACCTCTCAAAAAAAAAAAGGAATGCCATGCATGTCAGTCAATACAGAGACATTAATCTCCCCACTTCAACATTCCATATCTTTTCTATGTTTTTCCCAATCATCATCATTATTATTCTAGTTATTTTTAAAACAGTCAATCACTATTTCTCATTTTGCTTGTAAAAAGACATTACACATCTTGAAATACTTCTCAGACCAATCCAGTTGAGAATGCTATACATGTCCTCATCAACAGGTAATAAGCCATACCTGATTCTCACTACCGTCCTGCCTCTCAATTGTTCTCTTGCTATCTTTCTCTATCCTCTTCTCTTCACCTCCCCCATTCCACGCTCTCCTATTCTCGTTAAGTAAGGTAGCTGCATTCTTAAACTGAATTGCTAAAGGCCACCTTCTTTTTTGCACCTTCTCTGATTGGGTATTTACCTACCTTTGAATAGGACATGAGTTTTGACAGAAAACTTTGATTTTTTGGGGGAAGAACCACTGAAGATCTTTTTTTTTTTTTTTTGCATTTTCATTTATTAATGCTTATGCTGCAAAGATGATTAGTAGGTGATTGATTGTTGAATGCATGAATGGCAGACAAAGTGTTGGGGAGTGGAGGAATAGGAGAAGGAAGAGGTGTTCTAATGTAAGCTTCAATCACAGTGCATGCTTGGAGATTGATGATATCTGTTACCAAAAGTAAGAAGGTAAGCTTGGGACATTTTGTCCTTATAATGTCGAAAAGACAAACATTTCTAAATCTCAATTTTAAAATTGGATTTGGAGAGAGAATGGATCATAGTTGAAGGCATGGAAGATAATGAGTTTTTTTTTTTTTTTTTTCTTTTTTTTTTTTTTTGAGAGGTTTTTCACTATAGGGTGCATGCGCTTGCCAGACAGACAGAGAGAGACATAGAGACAGAAAGCGAGAAATCGCCCCCAAGGGGAGATGGTCACGCCGCAATTCCTTCCCCTCCATTCTCCTCTTGGGATCTTGGGCACGCACGCACATGCACCCGGTGTGAGTTTTAAGCCACCGGGTCCAGGACGTGCGGTTGACTACGTGGGAGTCCAGCGACATAGCCATTACGGTAACTGCTGGTTCCCCGGAAGATAATGAGTTTTTATAGAGGATAAAGAGATAAGCTTTGGGACCAGCAAGTGGCATGGTGGTTAAGGCACCGGACTCCCACATGCCTGACCACAGTTCAAGGCCTGGACCTGTTGGTTTGCTTTCTCACTTTCTCTCTCTTTCTCTCTCTGGTCAAATTAAAATAATAATAATAATAATAATAATTGAAGTTGAACAGATAATTCTTTAAAAAATTAAAAGAGAAAAGAAACTTTGGAGAATGCCAAATTTAGGGGCAAAAAAAGTACAACACAAAGGGCCTGAGAGGATGGCAATATTGATGATATCTGTTGATGCATTTTTACAGAAACCAAGGGAGCAGTTTTATTTCTGTTTTTAATAATTTAATTTTATTTATTATTATATTTTTAAAATTTGACCAGAGAGAGACAATGTGAGAAAGCAAGCTGTCAGGTCTAGAACTTGAACCATGGTCCACCATGTGGGAGTCCAGTGCCCCAACCACCAAACCAAGGGAGTAGTTTTAATAATAAGGATAGTTAGTTAATAATGACAATTCAGAGAAGTGAGAAAAGACAAAAAGAAGAAAATACATGGACTAGGTGTTAGGAATAGTTTTCATAGAGTAGTATGAACTAGATATGAAAGTACTATATAAGGAAAATGTAGCTAATTAAAAACTAATGAAATTTTTTCTTTATTCAGCTTCAGTTGGCAGAGAAAGACAAAGAAATAAATGGTCTGACTTCACATTTGGAAAAGCTCTCCCTGGAGAAGGTATTGACTAAAACACATAAAAATACATATATGGTACTGAATGATAATATAGCTTCATGAAGAGATACACATTTTATAGTTCATGTGAAAGGAGTCTTTAGAAAACTTAGATGACTAAAGATTTAAACCAGATGTTAGGGCTCTTAGATTAAAAAAAATTTTTTTAGGTAAATATTTAAGAAAATTTACTTTAGAATATGAGAAAAATACCTAAGTATTGAATATTATTAGTTTGGTCTTTGTTACATATTTTGCATTTAACTTCAAATTTAGGGAAAGTGAAGTTTTTAAAAGTTACATATTGACTGGCCCTGTAGCTTAGGGGTTAAGGGAGCCGGATCCCACATGGGCCACTGGTTCGAATACTGGCCCTGGTAGATTGGAAAACATGCCGGGTACATGTACCAAAATCACAACAGGATGTAAAATGGAGAAGAGAGGATTGTGATATGACTATACCCCATTGTGGGATATTTGTTCTTTCTCCCCCATCCCCCATCTCTGTCTTTGTCTCTTTCTGGTGAGCACACACTCTGCCCCCCCCCACCACACACACACACAAAGAGTTATTTATAATTTATGTGGCTTCCTTTTATAGAAGGAAACATTTTAAAAGTTGTTTGATGACTTAGAGTATAACATTGAGACAAAGCTAATAGTTGTAACGGGAAAGATGCTGTAGTATAGCATTTTTCCAAGTGTGATCTATAGTCTTTTGAGGGGTCTCCAGTCTCCTTACAAAAGGTCTATGAAAACAGAACTATTTTCATAATATTATAACATTATTTGGTCTGTTTCCCACTGTGCTACCTTTGCACTGTTAGTGTGAGGTCATTGGTGGGAAGGTAGACTGCCAGACTACCTTAGTAGCTGTTGCATTCATTATCACCATGCACTCACAGTAGAGAGAAAAGAAGCCAGTTTCACTTATGACTATTAAACAGTAAAATACCTTAATTTTATTGAACTTTGACCCTTTGGTACAAGTCTTTCTAATGTTTGTGATGAAATGGAAAGTACCCCTAAAACACTTCTGCATAATAAAACGTGATGGTTATTTGAAAGTAAATCACTTTTATTTATGGTTATTTGAGTTGTGAGCTGAACTAGTCTCTATCATGGAACACCATCTAAAAGATATATTTTGGTCAGACTTGGGTATTTGGCACGTGTTTTCTCAAAAAGAAATAGAGTGTTTTTTCTAGGAAAAACAATTGATAGTATTTATGGTTGTTGATAAAAATTCAAGCAAAAACTGGAATTTTGGAAAATTTGTACTTTTTCACCATTAGATTGATAGTTCACAGTGTTCATAAATTTACAATGAGATAGAGGCTACTATTTAGACTGAATTTTTAAAAATTGGGTAGCAATTATGCCAGCATTTAGAAGATTACATAATTCATTGAACTAGTGTTTTCTGAATGACCAATGCTGATGTTACAAAGTCATGCATGGTAAAAAAAAAAAGCCATTGAAAGGCTAAGAAACAGACCTCAAAGTTGGATGGATGGGATGACTGTGATAGTTGTAAAATTGTGATCTTTCAACTTCCTCACTTCCTCCATATTTGTTCTTTAGCATTCTACTATAAGGAAGAACTGTCCTTTGTCCTCATTTATGTATGTATGTGTAGTATATTCCAGCAATAATTTTATGATACCAGCTGGCTTCTTACAACTGATTTCTGATACTACTGTTAAGTTAGCATAGATCCCACAGGTTAAGAGCTCAGTCTCACAGGACTGCACCCATATCGGAGGACAAGTACAAGGATCCCAGATGATTCATGCTTCCTAAAATTCCTAAAAATTAAGGGGGTCCCACATTAGCTTCCCCCCACTATTTTGATATTTTGCTAGAATGAGTCATAGAACTCAGAAAAACACTTATGTTTATGACTATATTGGTTCGTTGGAAAAGTTGTGATGCATTTTTGCGTTGAAAAACAAAAGTAAGTCATGACTTTTCTGATAACTCAGTAGCATTATAAAGAGTACAACTCTGAAATGGTCAAATGGAAGAGATGCACAGGGCTAGGTATGGATGGTGGTAGCACACAGCTTCCATATTCTCTGTAGATGTGTTGCCTTTCTAGTACATCTACATGCCCACGAATAGAAAAGTTTCTCAAGCCTCAATGTTTCGGAATTTTTATCTGGGGCTTCATCACATAGCCACAGTTGATTAAATTGATTGGCCAAGTGATCTAACTCCATTTTCAGCCACCACCTTCTCCCCAGAGACTGCCAGTGGGATGAATTGGGTGTGTCCTGAAAATTTAACTTAAGTGGTGACCACCTCTCATTTGAAACTTATCTGAAGGCCCACCATGAATCACATGACCTTTTTCTCTTTATTCTTTTAGCATGGCAGATTACATTGATTTAAACCAACTTTGAATTTAACCCAACTTTGAATTCTTGTAATAAAATCCACTTTTTTGTTTAATGTTGGGTTTGATTTGCTAATAAGTTAAGAGTTTTTTGTATCATTATTTGGGATCAGGTCTGTAGTTTTCTTGTGATGTCCTCATTTATTATGGGTATCAGAATAACAGTGACTTTGTAAAATAAGTTGTGAATGTTTCTTTTCTCTACATTATGAAGAAATTTATAGAGGATTAGTATTTTTTTCAGTATGAAATGTTCGGTAGAAATCACTAGATAAGTAATCTGGGTTCTTTTTTAAAACCTTTTTAATTTTATTAATAGTAAAGAGGTAAGAGAGTCACAGTTTTCTCCGAATTAGCTCAATAAAAAGGGCACTCTCTTGGCACAAGTAAATTTCCAGTAATTTTTCCATGGAGACCATTGGGTCTTCTATGTGTGCAATCATGTCATCTGTGAATAGAGGGAGTTTCACCTCTTTTCCTATTCGAATGCCTTTTGGCACAAGTAAATTTCCAGTAATTTTTCCATGGAGACCATTGGGTCTTCTATGTGTGCAATCATGTCATCTGTGAATAGAGGGAGTTTCACCTCTTTTCCTATTCGAATGCCTTTTGGCACAAGTAAATTTCCAGTAATTTTTCCATGGAGACCATTGGGTCTTCTATGTGTGCAATCATGTCATCTGTGAATAGAGGGAGTTTCACCTCTTTTCCTATTCGAATGCCTTTTGGCACAAGTAAATTTCCAGTAATTTTTCCATGGAGACCATTGGGTCTTCTATGTGTGCAATCATGTCATCTGTGAATAGAGGGAGTTTCACCTCTTTTCCTATTCGAATGCCTTTTGGCACAAGTAAATTTCCAGTAATTTTTCCATGGAGACCATTGGGTCTTCTATGTGTGCAATCATGTCATCTGTGAATAGAGGGAGTTTCACCTCTTTTCCTATTCGAATGCCTTTTGGCACAAGTAAATTTCCAGTAATTTTTCCATGGAGACCATTGGGTCTTCTATGTGTGCAATCATGTCATCTGTGAATAGAGGGAGTTTCACCTCTTTTCCTATTCGAATGCCTTTTGGCACAAGTAAATTTGAAAATACATTGACTTTGTTTGCTTTCTGATTTGTTGTATGTGGAAGGCACAATTTACTTCAACTCGAATGCCAGCCTTTCTGCCTGCATACCTGAAAATAATAGGGAAATAATGTTATTGTTATATTTTGGCTTAAAGCTTAATGTTGTCCTACATACATGACTTTTAAAATATTTGATTGCTCATTTGTCTTTTGTTTTGTTAATTTTAGGAACTTAAAAGGAGTATAGAAAATCAAGCAGAAAGGAAAATGGAAGGTCAGAATTTCCAGAGTACTCAGCAGGCATCACAGTGTCTCAGTCCGTGCTCAGAGCAAAATGGTCATGTCTCTGCATTGCCAAATGCACAACCAGTTCTGCAATATGGTAATCCCTATGCTACACAGGAAATAAGAGGTTATTAAAGTATTAAAGTATTTATGGTTTCGGGTTAGCTGAATCTAGAAATTTTTTGTTTATGTTTTCATAGGATTAAAGAACTACTGGTCCAGTTGATTCATCATCAGAGAAACAGTATTTTATGTCTATAATTAGCAGTTTTAATGTTTAACTGTAACTGGCCTCATCTAGAAATGATACATTATAAGTGGGTAGTCTATTTTCTTATTTATAAAAATTTCTCAATTTTTAGTCACCTCCATTAAAAACAAAAATTTCTATTTTTTTTATGCACCAAATTTGTTCTTTATATTTTGTTCATCTTTGTCTATGCACAGAAACGCTAATTTTAGTAACCAGTTCCATTCTACCCTTTTAAAATTTCTATCACAGATGGAGCAGATGGTGCTTTTTACCCAGATGAAATCCAAAGGCCACCTGTGAGAGTCCCTTCTTGGGGACTGGAAGACAATGTTGTCTGCAGCCAGCCTGCTCGAAACCTTAGTCGGCCTGATGGTTTAGAAGACACTGAGGATAGCAAAGTAAGCTAAATTCTCATTGTTTGAGCCTTGTCCCTTTTATTTTCCGTTTTATGTATAAAATTAAGGGTGTTTGTTTGTGCGCATGTGCATTTGTGTAGTGTGTGTATGCTTGTGTTTACTTGATTTTTGAAAGTACCTCGTATTTAAATTTGAAAAATCAATATATTTTAGATTTATACTTTTGGATTTATGTACTGAAGAAAAAGTAAATTCAGAATAATCTTAGAATTTTGTTATCAAATAATCTCGATCATCACTTACTAAATAACTGTATTCTTTTAATTGTAGATGTACTGAGTTGGAAGAAACAAAGTGTTAATTACACTATTGTACTTCAGTATGCATATTTTAGTTCTAATATTTATTACTTACATTCATTATTTATTATCTTGAGCCAGAAAAGAAAAATGTATGTATCATATAATAGTTTTATTTTTCAGAGAAATACTTTGTTAGATCTTCAGTATTTATGTAACGTTTCTTATTCTCTTTGGCAGTGTTATAGTACTGATGCTTATTGAATTAGTCTGTGTAGTAGTCATTATTTTAAAATGTTATTTAAGAAATCTCTTCACCATTTAATAAATGGGTTTATTTCCTTAAAGCGGTTATGTTCAAAAATAGGTTCTTTTCTTTGTAGCAGTTTTTTTTTTTAAATCCCTGTGCATTAAGATGAATTTAAAAGAAATGCTTTATCGTGCTCTTTGTGAGTACAATGGTATCATGACCTGTTTCTCATTTAATCTAGTTTGCTGCATTTAATTGCTATTAACCTTTGCAGAAACTGATCAGTGTTCAGACAGGCATGATTTTAGCCCTAGTGCTCAACACCCATAATGGAGAAAAATGTATTTCTCCCTCCTGCCTTTTGGCCTCCTATGTCCATTACTGGGAATAATTAGGAAAACTGTCAGAACTTTTGTAGCCTATTTAAGGTCTAGAGAATCATCTCACTGCTTTTTCACACCTTTACTTCACATTTTGCATATTTAATCTGATCATTCTTGGCGCAGATGTTACATGTGACAAGCCCTTCTCTTCCATAGTCATCTGCTTCAGTTTAATTAGCAGAATGTTCTTCCTGATCTGTGTGCTTTGCCCTCCTGCAAACCTATGAGAAACAGTGTTAGAGTCTTGTGCTCATTTGCTGACATCCTTAGATTTGGTAATGAGAAGGAAAGACTCTTAATGTGCATATCTTCAGTAATTTTGTTTTACAGTCAAAATATTTTACATTAGAAAGTAATTTTTATGTATAGTCAGAACTTCCTTTAATAAAACTTCTTCTCATTAAAACAACTAAAATCAATTGCAAATAAAGCACTATAGTAAGTAGGGGTTTTTTTGGTTCTGTTTTGTTTTGAGAGCTTTTTTGCTATAGGGCGCATGTGTTCCCTAGAGAGAAAGCAAGAAATCCCCCCTAGGGGGATAGCCACTCCACAGTCCCTTCTCCATTCTCCTCTGGGGATTTTGGGCACACACGCACACGTGACCTCCCTGTGCCGCCCGCCACCGGTCCCCCCCCCCCCCCCCCCGAGTTTTAAGCCTCTGGGTCTGGGACTCAGACTGTGGTCAGCAACCTGGGAGTCCAGCAATGTAACTATTACGCCATCTGCTGGTCCTAGTAAATAGTTTTAATAAAGAGTGGAAAGCCAATTTGAGTGGACCTATTCCTTCTTTCTCTTTCTCTGTCCTGGAATCGAATAACAGCCACAGGCCCTAGCACCACTGAGTCAGGGTAGAGGTGGCCTGCTCTCTCAGCCTACCCCAGTGCCTGCACCTGCCATATCTCCTCCCTTCTGTGCCAGAAACTGTGGTCAGTTGTCAGATAAAAAGTTATGATTCCCTTTTACCTAATAATCACAGTAACTGAAACACCGTATGTTAATTATGATGGTAGACACAAACATTTCTATAGCTTGATTAGCTTGCTTAATGATAAGCTCTTTAGATATAGTAATTCATTTGTTCTTAGAGCAGTCCTATGACATAGGGACTATTACTGTCACTATTTTATTTTAGAGTGGAGGAACTGACAGATAAAATAACTTTCCCCAAATCGTATAGCTGGGTAGGGGCAGAGGCACGATTTGGACCGCATCAGTTTAGCTGCAGAAGCTGTGATCTTAACCGCATATCAAATACACTATACCAGATAATCCCATACTTTCTCAGTCTGTGGTACCCTTAGCATCTCAGTAATGTTTTTCTGTAGTATTCCTTAGACTAGAGGAAATGCCTAACAATTAAGTATTTTTCTTCTGAGAAACTTAACCATTTGAAAAAATAGTATCCATAAATGGAAAAAAATGTTAATATTTTTATTCATTCTCAATAAACACAGTTACTAATGGGATGTGTGTGATTGTACAGTGTACAATTCTCAACCCTTGGAATTAAATTAGACAAGCCACCCTTGTTACCTGGTGTTTTGTTTTGTTTTGTTTTGTTTTCATTTTTACTGATTTTTACGTGACACTTGCTTTATGTCACAGTAGTTTGCTTTATGACACAGCAACTTCAAAGATAAGATGACATTGAAGGAAATGTACCTCTATATACAATTGAAATTGTGAGCTATATAGAAGTTGTAAATGAGGTATCTGACAAATCTTGAGTACTTCCGTGTATTTCTACATATTTAGTATCTCTAGAAATTAAAATGATCTCACAGTATCTCTGAATTTACGGTGGTGACCCAGGCACCTTTGTACTCAAGTTTTGGAATCATGAGTGCAAATCCTTGCTAGTCAGGTATAGTTCGTGAACCAGCAATAGTGGCAACTTTTAGAAGTTTGTTGAAAATGCAGTCTCCTTGGACTTACTGACAATCAAATGACATTTAACTCCTGACCTTCTGTCAGGCAGACGACATTTAAACAAAATCCTTAGGTGACATATGCTTGGTAAAGTTGCAGATGCCCCTGGTCTAGCCTTCCTGGTCCTGTCACGAAGGCTTGATTACTTTCTCTTCCCTTAATGCATGTCCCATTTTCCTGTTGTTTTCATGCCTTTGTTCAGTGTTTCCTTTCTGTCCTCATTCCTTTTCTCTCTTTGAAAGACAAAGCTCACACATTTTGTGTGTGAGATAGGGAGACAGATTAAGTAGCTTGTCTCAAACTACACAGCTGGTTATGGTAAAGGCAGGATTGAACCTCATGAATTTGCTGTAGTTACGTCTTTTGTGACCATCTTCTTTCACTACTTACTGTAATGTTTTCTGTTATTCATGTTTTAGCATGCACCCATATTTAGCATGAAGATGTACTTCATTACTTTTTATTGCTGAATAACATTTTATTCAGTCTGTTTTTAATTCTGAGAGGTAGGGAGGGAAACCCTCAGTAGAGTCCTCGTGCTGTGAACTATTCCGAGGCTCAGCCAGCCTATTTCATGGGCATGCCTGCTTGTGTCTGGCATGTACAAGGAGACTTTGGAATGTGAACCAAGACCTTCCCATATGGTCCCAGCATTGTGGAGTGTTTGTATCAGTGGCTGGTCTCATCTTATACACAGGCTAATGCATGTGAAATACCATATCTTCCTGATTGTGATTTGCATTTCCCTGATGGCTGATGATGTCAAGCATCTTTTTATATGTGTTGGCCATTTATATGTCGTCTTTTAAGAAAGGTTTATTTGTAGCCTTTGACAACTTTAAAATTAGGTCTCTTATGAGGTAGATGATTTGCAAAGATTTTCTCCCATTCTATGGGTTGTTTTCGCTTTCTGATGGTATCCTTTGTGCCACAGTAGTTTTTAATTTTGATAAAGTTGAATTTATGTTTATTTTGTTACTTATACTTCTGTTGTCATATATATAAGAAACCATTGCCAAGGTTTTTTAATTACTCTTGTGTTTTCTTCTAAGGGTTTCTTTATTCCTTTTTTAAAAAATGATTTATTGAGGCTGGCAGGTAGCATGGTGGTTAAGGGTGTTGGACTCCCACAAGGCTGACCATAGTTTGAGTCCCACATCTGGCGGCTTGCTTTCTCACTTTTCTCTCTCTCTCTTTCCCCTACCCTCCACCCCATGCCCCCACTCTGTCCTTCTCTGGTCAAATTAAAATAAATGAATGAAGATAAAAAAAATGGTTTTTTTTTTTTTTTTTTTTTTCTTTTTTCTTTTTGAGACGTATTCGATATAGGGTGCTTGCCAGAAAGATAGAGACAGAAAGCAAGAAATCACTGTCCAGGAAGGTGCCACGCCACAGTCCCTTCTCCTCCATTCTCCTCTCAGGATCTTGGGCACACACACACATGCGTCTGGCATGAGTTTAAGCCACTGGGTCCGGGACTTGAACTGTGGACGGCTACGTGGGAGTCCAGTGACATAACCATTATGCTAACTGCTGGTCTCAATAAAATAGTTCTTTAAAAAAAGAATTATTTTAAAATTTATTTCCATTTGTGTTATTACTATTTTTTTAAGTTGACCATGGAGAGACTGGGGCAGAGGGGGGATTGAGAAAGCAAGCTTCCAGGTCTGGGAGTCAAACTGTATTTGGCCTTGTGGGAATCAAGTGCCTTAATCACCTCACCACCTGCTGGCCTCTCTTCTGAGGGTCTTAAAGTTTTCTCTCTCTCTCTTTTTTTTTTTTAAGAATTATTTTTTATTTAACTTTATTTGTTTATTTTAATTTGACCAGAGAGGGACAGAGTGAGAGACAGAGAGAGAGAGAAAGCAAGAAAGCAAGCTGCCAGGTTTGGGATTCGAACCACAGTTGGCCATGTTGGAGTCCAGCACCTTTAACCACCAAGCCACTTTCCAGCTCTAAAGTTTTCATTCATTCATTTTTTTTTTTTTGAGAGGTTTTTGCTATAAGGTGCGTACGCTCTCCAGAAAGACAGAGACAGAAAGTGAGAAATCACTCCCCCCCCCAGGGGGGGATGGCCACACTGCAATCCCCTCTCCTCCATTCTCCTGTTGGGATATTGGGCACACACGCACACGCACCTGGCGTGAGTTGAAGCCACTGGGTCTGGGACTCGAACCACGGTCGACTACATAGGAGTCCAACAACATAGCCATTACGCTATGGTCCCTAAAGTTTTAATTTTTAAAGTTGGTCTTTGGTCCATTATTTTTTCTGATTGCCAAAGGCCATGAACGTATGTGCATGCAATGCATGAGAGAACCACTCAACAGGAAGTGGTCACTCCATAGTCCTTATTCCTTTCTGCTTACCACCATGGATTATGGGTATGCATTCTCACGTGCCCAGTGTGTTTTTCATGCTACTTGGGTCAGGATTTGAATTGCATTTGACCATGTGTGATCTAGCACCGTTTACAGTACTTAGCCATTTATGAGACTGACCCGAGACAGTTTTTGAATGTGAAAAAAAGTAACTTCTTTTTTTGGAGAGGTTTTTGTTATAGGGCGCGTGCGCTCGCCAGACAGAAAGGGGGAAAGCGCCTCCCAGGGGGGATGGCCATGCCTCAATCCCTTCTCCATTCTCCTCTCTAGATCTTGGGCACGCACACACATGCGCCTGGCATGAGTTTAAGCCACTGGGTCTGGGACTCGAACCGCGATCGACTATGTGGGAGTCCAGCGACATAGCCATTACGCTAATTGCTGGTCCCAAGAAAAGTAACATTTTGAAAACTAACACAAATATTTTTAAAAATTGCTTTGTGGGTTTTTTTTTTTTTTTTTTTTTTTTAAAGTTTTTGCTTTAGGGTGCGTGTGCTCACCGGAGACAGACATAGAGCTAGAGAGGTAAAGTGAGAAATCCCCCCAGGAAGATTATATTGCTGCAATCCCTTGTCCTCCATTTTCCTCATAGGATTTTAGATGTGGATGGCATGATTTTTAAGCTGCTATGTCCCAGATTCAAACCATAGAATTGGCTGTCTGGATTCAGTTACCTTAACCTCCGTGCTACCTGCTGGCCCTCTGCTTTATGAGTTTTTCTTTTATTTTTCTTTAGGTGTTTGCCATAGGGTGTGTGCTTGCTGGAGAGAGGCAGAGAGAGGGAAAGTGAGAACTCACTCCCTGGGGGGATGGCCATGTTGCAGTCCCTTTTCCCCCATTACCTTACCCCTTTGGATTTTGGGCACGCATGCACATGCACCTGGTATGAGTTTTAAGCCGCCAGGTCCAGGACTCACACTGCGGTTGATTGTGTGGAAATCCAGCAGCAGAACTATTTTACCATCTGCTGGTCCCCAAAATGCATTCTTAAAATGTTTATGAAAGTAGTCACCGGTCTGTGGAACAGTAGTTGGTAAAGTTACCTGCATATATAGGTTGGAAGAGTTCTGCTGATCTCGGCTTCATTGGAACAGTTCTGCTGATCTCGGCTTCATTGTCATACACATGTATGGTATGTCTGTTCACTGAAAAGAGGTAGTACTGCTTTTCGATTCAGTGCCCATGGTGAAATACCCTGTAAAGTTTACTTTCAAGCATCTTTATGTGAAAAGTCTAAAGATAACAGAGAGGAAATTTCTTTACATCTTTCCTCCTTTATGTGGTCAGTGTGTGCTTGACTGAATTAAGGAATTTGTTTGATTTCACTTTTCTTAAAAGTTGCAAAATTGTTTTTTTTTGCCTAGGAAGAAGAGAATGTGCCCACTGCTTCTGATCCTTCAACTCAGCATTTACGTGGGCACGGAACAGTCTTTTGCTTTGATTCCAGGTAAATTTCCTTTTACTTTTGCAGAATTTGGATTATATAGGCTAGTGGCTCTCAAAGTGTGATCCTTAGGAACTTGTTAGAAATGCAGATGCTCAGGACCTGGTATGCTGAACCAGAAACTCCAGGGGGTAATGCTTTAAGCATTTTAACACAGGTCCTTTGAGAACTAGTGCCATAAAATTTGTTGCTTTTAAATGAATGAACACTGTTACAGGTATGGCCTAGAAAGCAGAAACTGCTTTTTCTTTTTTTCCCCTTCAGGTATTTTTACCAAGCAGAATTTAAATTATGAGTTCTAGTCATCTCATAATTTTTATATTAAATAGAGAATTCTTGGCAATAAGCCTCATTTTATATGTGATTGTTTTTTGGTGATTCTAATGAAAAGTGGGTTTTCTTTTTCCATCTAATTTGTGAAACCAGCTTTAGAGGCTTTATGAATGAATTTGCAGAGTTGTCTCTAGCAAACATTTAGTAGAAGATAAGAGGTTTCTGGAGTAACTAAGGACATTTGGAGTAGATTTAGTATGAATATAAGGTAACTAGACACATAATCTTGTCATACACTGACAGTTACTGTTGTAATACATTTATTAGAAATATGTAATTCTTCCATTTTTTTCTCTTTAAGCTTCGAAGTTCATAAGAAGTGTCCTCTCTGTGAATTAATGTTCCCTCCCAACTATGATCAGATCAAATTTGAAGAACATGTTGAAAGCCACTGGAAGGTGTGCCCAATGTGCAGCGAGCAGTTCCCTCCTGACTATGACCAGCAGGGGTTTGAAAGGCATGTTCAGACTCATTTTGATCAGAATGTTTTAAATTTTGACTAGTTACTTTTTGAGTTAATTCAGTTTAGCAGTTTAAAAAATCACCTTAAATAGACCACTAAGGAGACCATGAGGTGTCATTTTATGCGCCCTCTGCTGCACTTTTCTGACCAAGAGCTACTTTGGTGTTAAGAGGATCAGGGTCAATCTTTGGCTTATCAATAAATATAATTTTAACTTCTGTTAATTTTACTTGCTTTAAGAGGTGTTTCTTGTGTGTTTATATCTTTATTTATTCTCTAGTTTGCAAAATTGTATGAGTAAAGAATATGAGGATCGTTTTAATGTTACTGCGCACTGAAAAAGTATGTATGTATTAGTGTAGTGTGCTAGATTATTTAGCAGAATATTTACAGGTTTCTGTTGACCTCATTGATTGAGCATGACTACTAAACATTATGTAATAAAAAGCATTTATCCTGACAGTCTTGTGGAGTAATTTTTTGAACAGAAAGTTCTACAATTTAGCTTATGAAATAAGTTTCTAATCTTTAGAAATGAAGCTGCATGTAGAGTGAGATCACATACCCTTTCCATGTGTGAAATGTTGGCTTTAGGAATTAATGGAAGGCATATTTTGCTAATTTTATGACAGAAAATTTTAGAATAACTAAAATTATTTTGGGGGGGGATGGGGGAGAGGTTTTTGCTATAGGGTGCATGTGCTCCTAAACATTATGTAATAAAAAGCATTTATCCTGACAGTCTTGTGGAGTAATTTTTTGAACAGAAAGTTCTACAATTTAGCTTATGAAATAAGTTTCTAATCTTTAGAAATGAAGCTGCATGTAGAGTGAGATCACATACCCTTTCCATGTGTGAAATGTTGGCTTTAGGAATTAATGGAAGGCATATTTTGCTAATTTTATGACAGAAAATTTTAGAATAACTAAAATTATTTTGGGGGGGGATGGGGGAGAGGTTTTTGCTATAGGGTGCGTGTGCTCGCTGGAAAGACAGAGAAAGACAGAGATAGAAAGCAAGAAATCACTCCCCAGAGGGATGGCCATGCCGCAGTCCCTTCTCCATTCTCCTCTCGGGATCTTGGGCACGCACACACACATGCCCGGCATGAGTTTAAGACACTGGGTCTGGGACACGAACCGTGGTCAACAATATGGGGGAGTCCAGCGACATAGCCATTACGCTAACTGCTGGTCCCCCAAAATGATTACTTTTAATCCATGTTGAGGTCGTATTTATATCTAATGAGAAAAGGGAAAAGATTAGTAGTCAGTTACAGTTGTTTTTATATTACATGATCTGTCAGTGGTGTTTGTGGCATCAAGTCCCAGAAAATATCAATCTTTTTTCACATTTTTCTGATGAGAATATAAATTCGAAGTAATATTCTTAGTAAGTGATTAAAATATAATTTTATAAACCCAAATTAAAATAATGTGTTTCTTTAGTTGTGTATCTGTTGTAGTACTCTTGTTAATATTAAAGAAGCCTTTTTGGAGGGCTATAATTTTATTGTCAAATTAATTTGCAATAGCTTTTCATTAACCTAATTTTGTTTGTTTGTTTGTTTTGGTTTTGGCCTTTAAAAAAGTTTCTGAACGTGCATTCCTTTCTCTTATAATGTGAATGTTGAGAATTTAAAGTATCAGCTTTCTATTTTGCTGGTTATAAAAATGTTTGTTGTGAGCAAACCAGGTATTTAAGATGTTAGCCTAATGTTTAGATGTGGCATTAGATGTGCATACGTATTACATCACTTGTTTTGGTTTGTAGGAGCAGAATTTGTGTATTTTTGGAATCCTTGAAAGGTTTTTTTTACGTCTGGTGCAAACCGGCATTCTGTGTTCAGATGTCAGCGGTTAGGATGTGAGAGTCCTGGGAGACAGCAGAAGGGAAGACTCCATGTTTTAGCTTTCTGATAGCTTATATGACAGATAAATCATTCAGGTAAAGTATGTTCCAGGGCATGAGCATTTTTGTTGCAGTTAATTATGGACCATGTTAACCTGAAAATAAAAGAATATTGTAGTACTACTGTTAGTGATATGAGACTTTCATCTTACTAGGCTAGACCTTATTTTTAAATAGTTTTTGGCCTCAAGCTCAAATAAAAAAAAGATTACCAGTAGAGTAATGCAGTCTAAGCAAAAAAGGGAATAGAATCTATATGCATTGGCTGAATTACGCAAAATAGCCTAAAATAGAGCAACACACTGATTAAAGTAGTCCTGTGGTCAGCTTCATACTGGTTTCCATGATGGATATTAGTGAAAATAAGGAGCCATGTTTATTTTGGGTCAGAGGCAGTTTATTTTAAATTTGATTTCATTTACATTTTATAAGCAGCTTTTTTGACAGGAATTTTAAGTTGCCTTTAGCTCTAAAACAAATCTCTGTTGCTCTCAAACTTAATGTGCTCTGTCCCCAACGAAACATATGAAAATATAATTTAAAGCACAGTTTTCACAAACACAGTACAATACATTCACTATACACGGTATAACAAAATATTCCCATCCTTACCTGTTCAGTAATACTGTCACAATAATAGAAACTGGAATTTGTTTATCATTGAAAGAAATTGAACATGCACAATGACTATTTTATGACTGTTTAGCTGTTAACTACCGATCCAGCCTGCAGTTTCTTGCACTAGAAGGAGCAAAGCTAAATAATAATTGCTGGCCTAAAAAAATTTGTTTTTTTTTTGGTCAATTGTAGGTAGATATGAAATAGCCAAGTAGGGCCTTCTTATGCACCATCTAGTTGCTTCTTATGTCTGGATCACCCTTTAAACATACAGGATTAATACTATATTCAGGACCAAGACCACTCTTCAGAGATCTGAGGAAATTTTGAGAGGGCAGTGTCTTTATAAATACTTAAAAATCCCTCATTATGAGAGATTCACAACTTGTTACTATAGAAGCTTACCCATCTGGCTAACAGAATTGTCATCCTTTCAAAATGCCTGAAAAATTGAGGAGGGACCCTTGCTTCCCAGCCATGTATAAGACTTTTAATCAAATGGGAAAAATGGGGAAAGATAAGCAGTTTGTGTTGCTTTTCCACCTGTTTGTTTTATGGGCAGTTAGCTGTATCAAAGCCATTTTTATTGCATATTAGGCAACTGGTAAACTCTCATGTTTAAGGAATAGCACTTGGGAGAAAAAGAACACTCAAGGCATGATGGTACTGTCGGTGAGGAAAAAACTTGAGGAATGATCCAGATGTAGGTTTATTTTAAGGGTCGTATCAGTCACACTTTTTCTTTGACCACCTGCTGCAAAGAAGCACTTAATTGTCAATAAGGCTCATTTTCATATTTCTGCAAAACGTTTCATAAAGCTAAACAGACATGAGAATGCAGACATCTACAATGTGATGGGAAAAGTGCCTTTTACAAAGTCTTAGATATCGAGTGTGAGGAAAAGGCAGTAGGGGTCTTAACAAAAATGTTCCTCTTTGAAACGTTCTTGAAATTTTACTCTGATTTGCAACCCACAGATGTGTTTAGGGCAGTGGTTGCAAGCATTGGCAACACACAAACATTAAATTGTTGGCAATAGAGAACTACAAAGTGCTTGAACACTTCATCTCAAGATGAAGATAAAACTAAATTTTACACACACAAAATTTGCACTTAAGTATTTCAGAGTGTTTCCTAACAGATTTCAGGGAAAAGTATTTCACTAAACTGGTACCTTGGTCCACAAATATCAGTCATAAATTGAATCCCTTGTACCCAGCAGGCACTCAACAAATGTGTTAAAATGAATAGACTATTTCATACAACAATGCCATTTATAACATTAAAACAGTTGGTAAGTCAGGTGGCAAGATTTTTAGCTTTTTAAAGGGCAAAGGATTTGCAAGATAATATAAAACACAGAAAGCACACCTTTTATGTATGTTATTTAAATATGAAAATATTTTTAGCATATTATGTTAAACATTCTTTCTTATTTATATTTCCACTACCTAAAGTCTTTCTACTCACAAATACTAACTCCATTATGTAAGGCATGGTAACCAGTTTGATAATGAAGGTAATTATTTTGGTTTTGAACTTACGTGAGCTGATGTGTTGAAAAACTTCAATCACATTACAATCTTGAAAAAAACCTCAGTGCCAGCCCCTCCTCCCCCCATTTGATACCACTGCAGTACAACTAAACAATACGCAACATGCCCTCAGTTTTGTTTTGTTTTGGGGGAAATGTGCTGAAGAACCTAGAGCTTTTTTCGTTTAGCACCTTATATCAAAGTAATGAAAATGGGTATGATGATTACATGTGCAAATGTACAAAATCATTAACTACAAAGATACATCATTCCAAAATTACAGAAAAAATTTAAAGCATGCATTTAATTCTTTTTCTCTAAAGGGTTGCTGAATGCTTCCCCTCAAAAAAGGTGGCTGTTTTCAAAATCAGCAACTGCTGGTGAGGATTTCTTGGCACAGTTAGGACCAGCATGTTATTGCTGCATCTTCCTGATAATCTCAGCCGACACCGGGGGATGGAAATTGATTGTGTGGTGCCGCAGGCCCTGAGCTGTCTTGTAACTCTTCCCACACCGACATTTGAACGGTTTGCGGACACGAATCTGTGTTCTGTGACCATTCTTCGCGTGGTACTTTATGCCATTCACATTCTGTGGAGAAGAAAAAAATAGCCGTTATTAGATGGAGTCACAGAAAGTCTGTCAAATCTGGGAAAATCTTGGTCTGGGGCTGCAGCAAGACATCTCCTGGATGGCAGCTGTTGAGTGACTAGGCTTTCCCAAGGACTCCAGCTGAGACCCTATAAGGACAGTCCAGTGTGCAGATTGGGTCTGACACAGTAACACAAGGACACTGCCAGTCTGGGAGTACCGATTGCAGATTTTATGGAAAATATGAGCACTAAAAGTCATGATACATTTTATCAGAGGAAAACACATTACGACTTTCCCAACAACCTAACAGAAAATTCAGAACTTTGTACCTACAAATTGGTTGCTTGAATTTTTCCAGTCTGAATAGAGTTAACAGTAAATGATCCTATAAAAAATATTCTCTGGGTGATTATCAAAATGCTTTCTGGTTTTGCTAGACTCCATTCCTAGATCCACTTTACAGATTTACAGTTTATATTGCTCCTTTCAATTAAGTCGTGAGGAAATGGGCTCAGAGAATTAAGTAACCGGTGAAAGATTTAAAGAAGAATAAATGGCAGGTGACATTTGAGCATAGGTCTTAATTTCCAAGTTAGCTCTTGGCACATTGGAAAGTAAGGGAATGAAGACAAGGCTTGAGATATGAAGTTGGGGAGCACAGATGGCTAGAATAGGAATCCGTTTCCTAAAATTATACCCAAACCCAGTCTTACTGGGCCCATTCCCTTCTCCAGCAAAAGGTTTCCAACAGTCAGTCCCCTTCCCACTTTTTATGGGATAACCTTCATAAACACCAGAAAACAGACTGTTTTGTACTGTTGTTTTCTGAGTATACAGTGCCTGTACTTCGTAGATGCTCAGAAAGTTCTCGTAGAGGGGCGAATTTAAGAATAGCGTTTTCCAGCTGCTGGCATAGTGGTTAAGGTGGATGGATCTCACATGGCCGACTATGAGGTTTGAGTCCCATACTAGTGGCTTGAAAACATGAGGTTTGAGTCCCATACTAGTGGCTTGAATGCAGACTGGGCATATTTGCACGTGTGCTCCAGGTCCTGAGGAAAAGGGATTGTGGTGTGGCCATTCCCCCTGGAGGATGCATTTTCATTTTTTCTCTTCCAGTAATTGCACATGCTCTACAGCAAATACATTTTTTTAAAAAATAGCTTTTCCCTACCGCATGCCTCATTATTTTCGAAGCAGTAGAGAGGGTTGGTTGCTGTTAAAAATGATGTGTTACAATGGCTACTGCTAGCATGTTTCCCTCTTAGAGATTTGCAGTGTACATCAGTATTTTCTTAAGAGTACTTTGGTAGAAAAACGGCTTGCCTTTGTTGAATGCTGGGGTGCCAGACAGGCACCAGTTAGCTATACTCAGTCTGAAAACCAGCCGGTAAGCTGAAGCAGGACAGCCTCTGTCCCGAACACCTGGCTGTGGGCCGCCTTCACCTTCAGCCTGTCCTTCCAGCATCAGTCCTTTCACGCGGAGCAAGGAAACCCCCTCACCAATCTTGCTAAGAGGCATGTTTGAGAATCAGAGCTCGTTGGGGCAGTGAACCGGGGCGGGGAGGATAGGTGGTGGCTGAATCAGACCCACTAAGATGTTAGGTGGCTGTCCGGCGATAGCTGAGGTTCATACAGGAATGAAGAGACCCATTTATGTTTGCCCAATTCAGCCTCATCTCACCCCAGCCCCAGCTGGTTTCTTAAAGCAACTTCACGAGAGAACCGAGGCAAGAGTTACCCAGATGAGCCAGTCAACTACAGAGCTGCAGAAGGTAACGGCTTCAAGCCATGTGTGGGGGCAGAGGGGGAGAAGTGTGGGGAGAGAGACTATGTGGATAATAGTTCCATGACCGTTAGAAAAACATGCCCAACTTTGTAATCCCCCTGCCTCACCAATGTTAGAAATGTGCATCAGCCTGCATGCTACGCCATTTTTTCACTGAGCACCCAGTAAGGTCCTTTTTTTGGGTAAGGGGTTACTAATACATCCCATGATCTTATTTTCACAGGGGATTTGTTGCAAGATGGATCATTAAAAATCCAGCTAGTCTCATGCACTAGGACCACTCACACCTTGTCCGAAAACACAGAAAACCAAAAATAAGCATTAACAGAGCAGCAGAAAGGCGAAATAACTCTAATAGTATCAGGGTTTAGCTACTCCATCCAGGCTTGAGGTTTTATGACTAATTAGATGAGGGAAGTTTGAAACCAGAAATTGCTAAAGCAACACAAAGCTAGTGCCCTGTGAGACCAGATGCAGAGTTCGCCAGGGAAGGACACGCTGGGGCAGAGCGGATTCCAGCAGGCCCTGGGGCTTGTCTCCAGCTTGAATGTGAACTGTGCTGTCTGGCTGGGAGACTAAGGAAGCACAGCCAGCTCCATACATGAGTCTCATCACTCTGGAGCATCAGGCAGCCAGCTGCACATTTGAAAACATGGATTAGCCAGTGTTGGCCGAAGACTACCATACCGTCACTACTTTCTTGATGGGATTTAAAATGTTCACAAGTGTCAATGGGATGCCCTTACCACAATTGTTTGTACAAGGTCAAAAAGACGACTCAAAGGTTTCCTTGGTCTGTCCATTCACACACAATGGGAACTTCCCCTTTCCAAGACTAAAGGAGTTTCAAAAGATCCAATGAAGTTTCTAATTGTATCAATCCCAAAATAGTTTCACTTTCAAAACTATTAATAACAAAAATAACAGCAGGCAACTTGAAAATGAAATGTTCAAATCCTGTAGCTCTAAAGGGAATTTAAGCTTTGAAAGGCAAAAGAAGGTCACTTATATTTATTAAGAATTTATCTTTTAGGGGTCGGCAGGTGGCGTTGTGGTTAAAGGTGTTGGATTCCCACATGGCTAACCGTGGTTCGAGTCCCAGAACTGATGGCTTTCCCTTTCTCTCTGTCTCTGGTCAAATTAAAAAAATAATAACAAATAGAATAAAATAATTATTTTAAAAATAAAAAAGAATTTATCTTTTAAAAATAGGGGGGGAAAAAGAATTATCCTCATACTGGTACTTGATGTCAACTACTTTTTTTTGGAGAGGTTTTAAATTTTTTTTGCTATAGGGCACATGTGCTTGCCAGAAAGACAGAGACAGAAAGACAGCGAGAAATCACCCCGCCCCCCGCCCCGGGGGAGATGGCCATGCCGCAATCCCTTCTCCATTTTCCTCTCAGGATCTTGGGCACGCATGCACATGCGCCTGGCGTGAGTTTAGGTCCTGATGTCAACTTCATTAATACTCATGTTTTACATGAGGAAGTTGATGGCAGAGAAGGTGAGTGACTTGCTCAAGATCACATGGCTGATAAATGAGGGGACAGAAATAACCCAGTGATGTTTCATTTCGTAGTCCATACTGCCCCATTTAATCTCCTAAAGTGCTAGGTTCTCACTAATTAGACCAACCAGCCAGTGGCTGGACTCTTACCAGCTGGGAAGAAAGCTTGGGATACTCAGTCTGGAGAAGACAGTAAGTTACAGTGACGTTCTGATCTCAGGCTAACGAAGGAGAGGATAGGACAGGAGGTGTAAAGGACTTGGGTTCCTGTCCCTTGATGGAATGAAGCCAGTCAGTGGACAAGCAACTTAGGGCTGTTCTAAAAATTCCACTCCAAATCAAATCATGAAACTTAAAGTATGGATGCCACAGCGAGCCATTCTATCCTAAACTGTGTTTGATCTTTGTGACCTAAATATGTACAGCATGTGACAGGTGCCCTACACGTGAGAACTTTCCATTTCCCCTGGGCCTGGACATTTCTACATAAAGGATGAAGTTGCTTAGGGATCTGATGAGGATGAAAAGTGAGAAAGCCATTGGGATGGTGGCAGTGCTTAAAAGTGAAACTACTTGTAGCAGCGGGGCCTTCCGCAGGCCCAGCAAGCAGGAGGAACGAACAAGGTGCGAGTCGTCCCCTCTGGACTTGACGTGATCTCACAGCGGGCCCCTTGGGCAGGAGCTTTCAGAGGGGAAGTCGCCTCTCCCGCTCATTAAAGTAGTATGGTCAGAGTAGTTAACCAGAAATTTTGAAAATACAAGCTTCAAAGAGAAAGGATGGATGCAATCTCTGAAAAAGTTTCAGATATTTCAGTATTAGCCCCTCTTTTATCTACTTAATTACTTTGTGAGCAGTCCTCATTATTATTTTTTTGGAGAGATTTTCGCTACAGGGCGCGTGCAGCTCGCCAGACAGACAGACAGAGACAGAAAGTGAGAAATCACCCCCCCAGGAGGGATGGCCACGCTGCAATCCCTTCTCCATTCTTCTCCATTCTCTCGGGATCTTGGGTACGCACGCACACGCGCCTGGCATGAGTTTTAAGCCACCGGGTCTGGGATGCGAACCCCGGTCGACTACATGGGAGTCCAGCACCATAGCCATTACGCTAACTGCTGGTCCCTGTTTAAGAGACATTTCTAAAAGAAGTATGAAGCTAAAGAATGTGAACGCTGTTTAAAGCCCCACTTACTGAAAAGTAGTTATCCAGAAAGGCTCTGTCAGTTTTACTCCCAAAAAGCCTTCTGGCGGGATCCGGAGGGGATCTGGATCCGTCCAGGGAGAGAAGGGCTGAAGTGCCCTAGGCGAAGCCTCGAGCTATGCGTCTGTGCGAGGGTCCGTTTGTCTGTCTGCTGCTGAAACAGTCAACACTCTATGTAGCAGAGGATTCTTTTCAGAGAAACTTTGGATAGGGGACTTGATCTTTACATTTTTTAAAGTTATAAAACATCTTTAATCCTCACTACTATAATAAAAATTATCAAAGGAATAAAACCGCAAAACACGTTGTCCCTTAAACTTACTCTCAGTAGTAAGGTGTGGGAGTCTCAGTGTCTCTCTCCCTCCCTAAGTTAAAAGCCTGGAGCAGCACGAAGCCATATAGGATCGTTGTCCCTGACCTGGATTGCATCCAGGAGGGTTCTGAAGGAGAGACTCCTGCTGCCACTTCAGGGTTCTGGTAGTCTGTGGGGAGCCCA